TTGGCATCCATTATTTGCTTATTTAATGATTCCATCATTTGCTTGTTTGCAGCTACTATCTCGTCAGTTGGACACACAGGAGGTTGATTGGAGACATTTGGATTGTAAGGAGGACGGTAGCTTGAAGAGGCTTGGAAAGGTCTACCTTGATATTGAGAAGAGGGCTGATTTTGCCGCCCTTGGTTTTGGAATTGGGAATTCTGTGGGGCTTGTTGCCGCCATAAGAAATTCGGATGATCACGCCAACCCGGATTGTAGGTGTTGGAATATGGATTGTTCCCGGGCCGCGAGAACATGGCATTAGCTTGCTCTTGGTTGGGACTAGGAAATTGCTCCGTTGTGGGGCAATCTTCCGAGAGAGGGAATGGACTAGTACATGAAGCACAAACTGAACTTGCCGAATTTTGAGACAATGAAGGAGGAAGATGTGGTGCCATCAATTGATAGAATTTATGAGCGATGGCATCCACTTGAGATGATTCCTCCCTTATTGACTTTGGTTGACAAGGGTTGGTGTTGCTTGGAGTGGTTGCGGTCGGAGCCCTACGAGAATTGTGTTGAAGTGAATTTTCACTCAAATTCTCAAGTAAGGTCCAAGCCTCATCCGCATTCTTGGACATGAACATCCCACCACAAGAAGAATCAACCATGAATCTATGGGTTTCGGTCAAGCCGGCATAGAAAGCTTGCACTAATTGCCATTTTGGGATCAAATGATGAGGACACTTCCGAAGAAGATCTTGTAACCTTTCCCAAGTCTCGTGGAGTTGTTCTCCATCAACTTGAGAAAAGCTTAGAATGGAACGCCTCATTTGGTTGGTTTTACTCACCGGATAATACTTCTTAAGAAATTCTTGTTGCAATTGAGCCCAAGAAGTAATAGAGTTGGGAGCGAGGGAGTTCAACCAATATTTTGCCCTATCTTTTAGGGAGAATGGGAAGAGATGGAGATGAAGTGCATTGTCCGGAAAACCTCTCAACCGGATGGTTGAACAGATTTCAAGGAACTCATCAAGATGCTTGTATGGATCTTCATTATCAAAGCCATGAAATGATGGAAGCATTTGAATGGTACTAGACTTGATCTCATATTGAGCTGCATCGATGTTTGGCATCACTATGCAAGATGGAGAAGCATAGGTGGTAGGGATGAAATGATCTCTAAGAGTCATTGGCTCGATATTAGGAATTTCAGCCCTTTCATTCCCCGGATTTCCTACGTTATCCCCCATTATATTGAATTCAGTTTCAAGGTCCCTTGTAAGAGTGGGTTCCCTAAGGTTCCGTCTAAGAGTTCTTTCAAGAGAATTGATATCAATGGGCGAATCGATTGTGGGTAAGGAAAGTGACCTACGACCGAACATCAACAATAAAGCATATACTCAACAAAGCAATTCATCAACCACAACTCCACATACGATGTTCCCTTTCTCCTCAATTATCAAGACGGAAAATGTAAATGGCCACGACAAGGACCGATGCTTTAACACAAAATTTAAACAGGATAAGAGCCTCAACAAGGGCTTCACAACTAAACTAAAACTAAATTTAACACATGCACAATATTCACAACTCGAAACTAGAAGTCACGAGACTTACCTGGGGTCCTCTAGACTTACAATTTGCTAGCATTCCCACGGCGAGCTTCGAGTCCCTAGAATCTTACAACACTTAAAACACAAAGGTGGTCAAAACACACAAGGAATATTCACAAGACACAATATTCACAATCAAACTAAATTTAACCCTAAACTTTGGTTGCTAAACCGTTTGCAGTCCCCGGCAACGGCGCCAAAAATTGATCGGTTGGTCAATTAACATCAACCTTCGCAATAGCACGAATCATTGTAAAATAGGGCTATTGGTCGGGTAAGTCGAACCACAGGGACTACGCTAGTCTAATACAACCTAAATGTCTAGAATCATTCTTAGAATGATGAAGGGTGTATAGAGGTTTTGTTGGATGTCACTTAAGTTAGGAAATTAAAAGTGCATAAAACAGTAAATTGCAAGAATTCAAGGGAGTGAGTACAAGTAAAGAAGGCTAGGGAAATGAATCCACCTCCATCCCTCTACACATGCTAGGTTAAGATTAATTTAAGGGGAAAACAACATATATGATAGTCATGATACATAACAATACTAGGTTGCTATAATATCCTTAAGAGGTTCATTTAATTAGAAAGGCAAGAATAAACCATCAAAGGTTCACATGATCAACTACCTAAACTAAAATGTAGCTTAGAACATGCTTACTAAGCCAAGGATTATCAAGCCCTAATTTAAATGGTGAATGCACATAAAGCTAAGAATCAAGTATAGCCCATCAAAGGGAAACCCTAAGCCATGAACTATCTAGGTTCTCCAACTCCATGCCATTAAAACCATTCCATGATCTAACTTCCATTGTCACCATGGAAGTGCAAGCAATATGATTAAGAAAGGCAACCATCCAAGACAAGATGAATAACTCACAATAATCATTTAAAACATTCAACATTCATTACAACAAAAGTGAGGCTCTTGACCATGGAAAGACTATCAAAAATACATTGTAATCCCCAAAAATAAACTATACTAACACATGCTTACAAGGGAGGGGTTTCATCACCTCCCTAGATGAGGTTTAGTTACCCATTGGTGAGCTAGAAGAAGGAAGAAGCATCATCCTCATCTCCATTTTCGAGCTCCTACTGTAGCACTCAAGAACACCCTCTCCTTCTCTCTTCTCTCTCCTTTCTCTTGCTCAAGATAAAGCTTAATGATATATGTGGCCTTTGGGTAGCCTTTTATGCTCCAACCATACCCTCTCTCCTCCAAGGAACACCTCCAACCACTTCATAAAGAGGGAAGATGGCATTGAGGAAACCAATGTGCAAGTGGGCTGAAATGAGCCATTTCCGAAGGGCATTCTGCCTGATTTTCGAGCGCACGCTTGGTGACTTCGAGCACTCTAACTTAGTGCAATGTGCAACATGCTCCTCTTGCTCAGTGCTGACCTATTTTGGGAAAACTGCTATAACTTTGTGCCCCGAACTCCGAATGATGATCTGTTTGAAGCTTTGGAGAGCTGATTCAGTGCTTTAAAAACTTCATGTTTTGATGAAGACCCAAATCTCAAGTCTGGTTGGTCGAAAATGGGGAGAAAGGCAGTACATCAGTGCTGCCAGGCAGTTCTGCGCACCTCTGTTGTGAAGATCATAACTCTCTGCTCCGAACTCCGAATGATGAACCACTTGAAGATTTGGAAAGCTGATTCAGAGCTCTAAATCTTTCATGTTATGAGGGAAGTCCAGTTCTCGAGTTTGGAAGGTCAAAATGGCAAGCAAAGACCAGGCTCTACTGCTGCCAGAATTCAGCATTGGCACCCTTTTGTTGCTCAAGACTCCACAAGGCCTTATTCTTGTTCCATTTTGGCCAATGAACCTGAAAATGCATAAAAACATAGAATTGGAGTTAATCTACATAAAATAATTAATAACTGGACTTTGTTAATGTAATTTAGGGCGCTTGAATATACATTATTCGGCGCTTATCACCTAATAAGCAAATAACACAAAAAAACGACGACGTTTGACTTATATCTGTTCCTTTTATCTAAACAGTACTTCTCTTTCTCGTCTCTTCTCATATTTATATTCAATGATCACCTTTTATATTCCATAATATTTACTTAAATTCAAAATTGCAACAAGTTTAAGAGACAAAAATTTTATTATCTTAGCATGCTATGATAATTGAAAAAATGTACGGATAGAAGCAATTGGTGTGAAAAATGTAAGAATTTTTAGGCTTTCATTATTGAATATGAAAGGTGATCGATACTGTTATGAGAATTCACCTTATTGTTAATCGATCTTAGATGCTCTTCAAGACAATCTACTCCTTCTCTAGGGTTATAACGATGAGTTACATTATACGAGAGTAAATAATAAGCAACAAACGCCGACGTTTGACATATCTTTATTCTTTTATATGTACGGCATTTTTCTCTATCTTTTCATCTAAATTTTGTATATTAACAAGGCAATTCAATTACTATAATCCTAAACTAAACCACACCCCACCCCAATATTTGGAGACATATCTATGTATAAGGTGTTTCTACTATTTTTTTATTTTTATTTTTACTTACATGGTGTGTCACAATTACTCATATATACCCATATGAAACTTCTAACTTATAAGTTTTAAAAAGATTGCAAAACATAAATTAATTAATTATAATGTAAATACTAAGAGTTTTTCACACCAATTTCCTTCTACCCATACTTTTTTTCTATTTTCATAGCATGCAAAGACAATAAAATTTTGGTCTCTTAAACTTCTTGTCATTTTGAATTTAAGTAAATATTATGGATTTGGGCTGGGCTTGACTCTATCCTCAAAGCCTACAGCAAGTGACATACACTGTATAATTGTGTTTTTTTTTATGGGCTTGACATATACGTAATATATAGCTGGTTGGATTCAAATTAAAGCCTTAACATTATGAACCAAAATGGACAACAAATTTAGGCCCACTGCATCATTTGAGATTAGGTGGACTTCATTGACATCATTTCTTACCATCTTTTGAGAGAGTTCTAGTATATAAAAAAATTTAAAAATTAATTTTTTTTTATTGGTCGGGGCTTAGGCAACAGCATTTGTTTTGTAAGGATATGTCATTAATTAATTTTAAATAGAAATATCAATATATGCATATATATAGTATGTTCCAATTATAAATAAATGGATATATATCCTTTAAGTATAAAATCAAAAAATTAATAAATAAATAAAATGAATGCGGATTGATCCAAAACAAAAAGAGAGAAGCCAAGCTGTCTATATAAACAACACTTCCCTTTCACTAACATCATCCAATCTCGTCTTAACCCATACATATTCCACGACAGTCTAATATTATTAGTACTGTAATGAAGAGTTTATTTCTCTCCCCGAAATTCACCTTTCTTACCACCATATTTGTTATACTATCAATCCAATGCCTTGTGATGGGGGCACAAGATTTGATAGCCTCAACATGCAAGGCAACGCCAAACGTTCGACTCTGTGTCTCAACTCTGCGATCAAACCCTAAAAGTGCCCATGCAGATGTTGGAGGCCTGGCCATCCTTATGGTCGATGCCACGAAGGCGATGGCGACTCAGACGCTGCAACAGATCAAGACGCTTAAAGGGTCCACCCCACAGTTGCGGAAAGCCATTGATGCGTGCACTTTTGCTTACAAGATGATTTTGGAGGTTGACATTCCAGAAGCTTATAAGGCTTTGCCTAGTAATCCCAAGTTTGGTGAAGGTGGTATATCTGATTGCGTCGTAGAGGCCCAAACTTGCGTGACGACGGGCGTTCCAATACGCCAAACTAAATGTAGTGAATGTGTGGTACAAGAAAAGCCTTTTATGTCAAATTTAAATTTATAAAAACCACTACCAACACCACTACTAACGTAGCAAGAGTGAGTAGGGATCGTCCCAAGGGATTATACGTGTTGGAATTTCAACTTCGACTCTAGCGTACCAAATGATTGCAAAAGAGAGTTGGGTTGGTTGATTACTTCTAGAAAAGAATTAACTAAAATGCAATAAAAATAAAACTAAGTAGAGATAGGGATTTAAGAGATGAGAAGAGAGGACTTAGGGTGTTGGAATCACCACTAAGCTCATGTAATTAACCACTTGCTTTCCATTAATGGGGAATACATTGTTGTGAACAAAATTGGTTCGACTAGTAAAGGTGACTCAACAAGTGTATAATGTCTAAACAACATGTGAAAGGCTACAATATATCTATTGGAAGAGGAATATATTGTCTAGACAACATGTGAAGAGAACAAAATATCAAATCAAGTCATTAAACCTTTCATTAAGCTCATAGTCCAAATAATTCACAAGGATGACTTAGTTAAACATGTATTGTCTAAACATCATGTGAGAGGCCACAATATATCGATTGGGAGAGGAATATATTGTCTAAACACATGTGAAAGATACAATATATCATAACAAGTCATTAATCCTTCATTAAGCTCAAAATTCCATTACACCACAATATTAGAGCATATGTTTCTTGCATTCAAAAACATGGAACATCCATTAAGCACTAATGTCTAGCCATCACTAGATTCTCAATTAACCACACATAGACATGCAATTAATATAGAAAAACTAGTGTAGAGTTCAATTCCCCAAATAATCACACATAAGACAACATGTAATTAAAATAGAGAATCAATGGAAGAATTAACCCATATGAATCATGTGAGACATAATTCCTAATTTAATCACACATAGACATGTAAATAAACTAAAGAATTAATAGGAAGAATTAGACCATGGAAATCATAGAAATATACCAAGATTCATGACATTCACAAGGCTAGAACACTAATCACAACAATATATATAAAAATCCCCAAAAATAGAAATACAAGGGTTTAGATTACACAAGACTTAGGGCTCATCCAAGCCCTAAGTGTAGATCTAGTCAATCATGGAGGAGGTGGACGTAGTCATGGAATCAAGCTCCAAACATGGCTCCATCTTCTTCTTCTTCTTCTTCTTTGAAGCTCTAGAGATGGAGAGATAGTGGATTTAGAGATGTGTTCTTGAGATGTGCCTTCACTTCTCTCTTTTCTTCTAACCCTAATCTCTAACTTTTCTAAAGAGAGGAAAAATTACAATATAGAAAATAAAAATGATAAAAAGCCTAAAGAATCCCCCTTTACAAATGGGTTGCTTCCCTTTATATAGAAGGTCATTTTCTTAGTCACTAAGTCTAGAATATATGCTCAAAAATATCTAATCCCGCAACTTTTTGGTAGGTGAACTTTTGGGCGCGCACGGAAAAAGTGACAGCTTGCTGCCAGCATGTCCAGTTCGATCGATCCAACTTATTTTCGATCAATCCAACTTTTTCGATCGATCCAACTTTTCTGATCGATCCAACTTTTCTGATCGATCCAACTAAAAGTTCGATCGATCCAACTTTTTCTGCGATCCATCCAACTTTTCAGCTTTTCAGTATCAGCTTCTTTTTGCTCCAAATCAGCCTCTTTTTGCTCCAGATCATCCCTAAGACTTAGTTTGACTCCAAAAAGGCCTTAAGAACTTATTTTTAGCCCATTTTAACATTATTGACCTGAAATAGACAAAAATACAAATAAGTACTAAAACGGGTAAATAAGATAGATAAAGGTCCTAGAATACTCAAGCTTAAGGGGTTTAAATGTGTACTTTTCAGCGCTCATCATTGCGCGAATGGTTTGAAGCTGTTCAATTCACCGGCCACTGGTTTGAACCAAGTTGTGCATGACCTCTCTGCTGTGGCCACCTCCATAATTAGGATGTTGCTGTGAGGGGTTGGGTTGGTGTATTCGTGGATGTATTTAATTATCATCCTCTAAAATAAATAGATAAATCTTTTTTTCTTTTAACTTCGTCCTTTTGTTATGGAATAAAGTTTTTGATGCTCATATTGTTGCTTGAGTTTTTTTTGTTCTTTCCAAACTTTTTTTTTTTTTTTTTCTCCATTTTGATGGATGATTAGCATAGATTCGACCAGTTAAAGCTGTTGCCCTAACCATGATTCTACTTATGTGTCCGTAAAAATTCGTAAAAATTAGCTATATGCTGAAATCTAGAACAAATGTATTAGAAATTGAATTTAAGTATGTTAAAATCTCTTTTAAATATTATTACTTTTAATTTCAATACACTTTTTGTGTTTCATGCATGCCATGGTCGTTTAAAAAAAATTGAGAGGATCGGATGAGACTATGAGTTGATAATCTTTTGATAAAAAAAGGAGTAGTTTTTATTTATTTATTATTATAACTCCTCAATGGTATTTCTGTAATTCTTGGGTTCACTTGCTGGTACCGTATGATTACAGTGGGATGGCCAGCATAGTTCACTTTTCTTTTTTCAAATAATATATTTTACATCTTTTTATATATGTCTTTTGAATTTAAAATTTCAACCTTGAATAATTTAAAAGAGCAAATTAATAACTTTTTATAAATTAGTCTCTCTATAAGTGACACTTAAATTGAGATGAAAAGAGTATGTTTTATTGTTTTAATTACTGTGAAATACCTAGGGAAAAGAGAATAAATACTATAAGATAACAATCTGGCCTCTGGGTACATTATTGACCTTACTGATCATTCAGAGCATTGGACCTTCAATTATCTATTTCTTGAGAATGGAAATATTTGACAGACAAAACACATGGCATAATGGATGGATCGATCCTTAAATCTCTAGGTTAGGGATTCTGGCCACATAATTTGTGAAAAAATAACAACTCTTATATGTAAAATAACGAGTCTTATATATATATATATATATATATATATATATATATATATATATATATATATGTGTGTGTGTATGCTAATTAAGACTAATTAATTGATCTAGTGCTATATTTTGTGTGTGTGTGTGTGTATATTTACAAAAACATGTGTTTTTCTTTTCTTTTTTTGGTTTTATTGATAAAGTTCTATGAGTTTAGAAATGGTGATGATGCATTCCACTTTTAACTAAATACACTGCACATTTTTAATACTTTATTTTATTTCACCTTCAGGTTCCCTTGGACGTGAAATATTTTTTAGAAAATATTTTTTTATTTTCTAATGTTTGATTGTCATAAAATATTTACGAAGAAAAAAAATATTAAAATTTAACAAAAATAAATTATACATTAATTTTTGGCAAGTTAGTTTACATGACCAATTCGATGGACTCGACCTCAATCTCAACGTAGACCTTTGTTAAATACTGACAAAGTAAAAGTAAAAAAATATTTTACGTCCAAACAAACAAGTCTAAGTGTATAATGCATTTTGTTAAAAGAGTAATCGATTTCATTTATAATTTTCGTAGAATAGGTTTGATTGGGGAATCGAACCTCCCAGCAGTCGCGAGACTAAAACTCGTTCCGTTACCACTTGGCGTCAGTCATTCTCATGATTGTTTTCTATGGCCATAATCGTTCGTATGAAGCCCCTTTCTCTGCCGTTCACATGTTCTTACCTATTTAGGGGTCAATCTATGTTTCTCACTCCTTTCTACGTCCATATATTCGATATCCAACTTCCGCTTCTTTTATTATGACAGGTGGAAATTCTTCCTTAGCTGGTGTGTGAAACAGGGGCGGAGCTAGGATTAGAAAGTAAGGAGGGCTAAAAATAATTAAACCCATGATTGTGTCATCCATGCTCTAAATACAGAATTCTCATGCATCAGTCATTCAATTAAACCCAATAATTTACAACCTTCTAATACATTTATACTTCCAAACTCTAACATTATTTCACAGTCAAGAATCTACTGAAGTCTGCTTCATACAAATATTAAAACAAACACCTGTAATAATGCAAAATATATATATTCCTTATCAACGAACTCACATTAGAAAGCAAAACATATGTGTTCCGCCCTTGACTAGTTATTAATCCATTATATAGTAAATTACCCAATTTAACAAGAAATCATCAAGTCATCAACACAGCCCTTTTTTTAAAAAAAAAAATTTTACAAAAAAATAAAATCAATATTTCATTGGATTAACAATAATAATCCATGATATCCATTCACCTATACCTTAGTGCCTTACACACGAAGAGTTTTGGTCTTCTTCCATAGACTATCAATGTGTTCGATTTATTGTGTTGGTCCCTTTTATATTTTATTATGGTTTCTTTTGTGATTGGGTATGTCCATGGTTCGTGGACTTGCTCATAATTAAGGCTTAGCCTTTGTAAATTTTATAACTCTTTTTATTTATAGAAATAGTATGAATTGGGCCAAGCTGATAAGAAGAGTAATACATGAGCTTATAGGAACAATAGTACTAATTTTTTTTTTTTTTAATTGGACCTGGGCTATAGCCCAGGTTAGCCCATTACTAATTCTTCCCTTGGTCTGAGAGTGATCATGCTTCTTGTATGGATGATGGATAGTCATCATCTTCTCGTTGTTACTTGGCGATGCCACACTCTGATTTCTATTTTTTTATTTTTTTTATTTTTTTAAGTTTCATGCATTCTAAAACTAAGTCACACAATTTGTTTAAAGAAGCCCCATTCTCAAGCTCGCACGCGAATTTGCAATATGAGAATGAATTTGCACAAAATTCGCGAATTCAATTTTTGCAATTTGCAAATTTATTTTCTTAATTCGTAATTTCCATACAAATTTATTTTACATAACTAAATTTGTTAAAGTACCAGTGACATGGCATTGTTATACTATCATATATATATATATATATATGTTTGAAAATATATTACTGAAAAACTTCTCAATTAAAAAATATTACAAATAAATTACACATTGAGAAAAGTTAACTTATTTATTACATATATATCATTAATGGAATAAATAATCATAAATACATTTACATATGAATTTAAATAAATAAAAATATATAAATTATATATGTCATGACCTGATATAATTTTATTTAAACTTAATATACAGACGCTCTCGATCTCAAAAATTTAGACTTTGACATTTTCGCACTCACACTTTTACTCCCGTTCTTGCACTTGCTCCCGCACTGTGTGACTTAATTCCAAACTAAATATCTAATGTTAAAAAATTAATTTTCTTTCAAATTTTTATTTTTTTATTTTATTTTCCACTTTTTTACTGTTAATTTTCATCTTATGTCAACTTCTATTGCTTTAAATATCTCAAAGATAATGGGACGCCGACACATAATGGTGTACGAGTATGGCCAAAAGAGTGCGATGCAGCAAATCTTTAAAAGTGCAACCTGTGGCCAAAAGCTTGTCCAAGTCAACTCCACCCGATACTTTTTACCTGTTGACCGGCCATTCCGGTGCCTCCTACCCCCCTCAATAGCGAGGGTCCAACCGGCTACACCCGGTCACTACTTTCACCTCCATAATGCATTTATTGACTTCCTACCTACTACTAAACACTCAGGACTTCCGTACAGTAGGCTCTATGACATGATGTAGATCTCGTCCGTCCGTTTCTCATACTCGATCTGAACCGTCGGTTAAAGTGTCTCAGCTCGACAGAATCTAACTGGAACAACCTCCATTTGATGTTTACTTGTTTCATTTTTCTTTAACTGACCCGACTCCGAATCTTACTCGCTGCTGTGGCGCGTGTAGGTTATATTTGAATTTGCTATCAATTCATTTATTTTTTCTGGAAAAAAAAAACAAAAAATTTGCACTCGCCCTCACTGACGCTGGATTTTGATTCTCATTTAATTTAACAAGTTTGAACAAATTTGATCAAGGAAAATAAACACAAAATGTAATATTTACAACTACTATTTAGTGGAATTAAATTTTAAACAATACTTATGTCCTCACTAGTGAGGATCTACAATATACTGACGGTTTATATGAATCAATAATAAATTAAAACATCCTATAAATAGTAATCGAATTACTATATCTAATTTAGTAAGTGAGTATTTATCCCCACCATCTCCGATTAAATAATTAAGGGTAGGGGTGATCACGGATCGAATCGGTTCGATTTGTGATAAAGTTCAATCCGAACCGGTCCCCACGAATTGGAGAAATTTGAAACCGAACCGATCCGTAGGAACCTTCAATCCGAACCAAACCAATCATTGAAATAACAGATCGAATCGGATCGGTTTGGGCAGATTGGGCTTTTCAAATAACCCAATATAATTACACTTTATCACCAATTAAAATTTCAAATTAGTAATTAAAAACTAATAATTAAAACTAGAAAAATAAAATAGATTTGTAAATCATATACCCGGTAACATGCTAATAGTAATAACAATAAAATTTGTAAATTATATACCAAATAACAACAATAGATTTGTAAATTATATACTTAATAATAGGCAATATAAATTATCCAAATAGAATAATGAATAAAAAATAAATAAAAATACAGTAAGTATATTCAATATTGTATGTATATAACTATATATATACAAATTACTAATATATTATTTAGGCAACGGTTCAGATTAGTATTTTCAGGATACAATTCATTAACCGAATCGCAAATAGCGGATTACTATTTTTCAAAACCATCACCAAATCATGAGATATGAAAACCGAACCAAGCCACACTGAACGAATTAGTTCGAACCGGATTGACAAATTATTTGTTCACCCCTAATTAAGGGTAAAGTACAACACTCCCTGAGGTTTGCTAAAAGGACACTCAGATACAACTTACTCTATTTTGGAACAATGACATCCCCTTATGAGATTTGCAAGCCAAATAGAGCCTTAAAATATGTAAAAAGTCAATTTTGCCCTTTACTATTTTATTAATTTTAAGTATAAAATATTAAAATAATTAAAAGACCAAATTACCCTTGCCTCTTTCTCTCAATTACCCTTTGCCCCCTCTCTCTATATCTTCAACAAGAACAAGAACGAAGTCAAAAAGAAAAGAAGTCGGCCCTGGCCCATCAAAAGCTTGTTTAGCAATCAAAGCAGCGAGCAAATGAAGAAAACGTCTAATGGCTGGTCATTCTTTTTTTAGTCTTTATTTGGGGGTGGTGGTTGCTTTAGCCTTAATTTCATTGACTTCAATTACCCCAAGAATCAGGAATCCGAGGAAGTGACCGACCCTCTAGCATTTCATAGGTTTTTCGAAGATTGAAGCCTCAATTCATAGGATTCAAATGCTTCAATTGTTGAATCTTTCGCGATTGAAATAAAGGGTATATATATACATCTTCCACTGCGCAGCCGCCACCAACCATCCACCGCCACGCCGGTTAGTACCGTCACCATTCCTCTTTGACGTCGGCAGGGGCGGAACCAGTATTCTATGGTTGGGGGGCCGAACTTACAATTAATATAAGACTATTTTAAGCCAAATATATATATATATATGTATATGTATTCAAGGGTGGATCCAGAATTATATAATGGGGTGGGCTAATTTATTATAGAGTGAGCTAAGACTGCTAAAACCTTTTTTTTTTTTTTTTTTTTTTTTGGGTTGGGCTAAAATTGCCTCTAATAATTATTATTATTATTATTTTTGTGGGCTCAAGTCCACCAGAGCCCATCCCTGGATATTATCGCAAATAATTATCTTTGAGACAATAAAATTCATATATTATCGATTGGTAGTTTGACCATCGTATAACCAATTAACCTGAAATTAATCAATCAATTAGTTATTTAAAGAAACTTTTTATTTTATTTTATTAAACTTCAATAACAAACACAAAAAACATACATAAAATAGTTAAGCCAAAATTTTAAAATTTTCAACCCTAAAGTAAAGTGAATATATTATCTATTATTGCAATTGATTTTAATTTAATATAATATTGAAAGGTTTAAGGAAAAAAAAAAAAAAGTATAAGAAAGTTGTGTATTTTTAATAGAAATTTAGAAACCATTTATAGTAGTAGGTGTTGTTGCGGAGGCACGCGGTTGTGGCAGTGACGGTAATGGTATGGATTTCTTAGTGGTGTGTTGGCAGTGGTTGTGATGGTTGTGTGTGTGTAACGGTGGTTGTGGGGTTGTGGGGGGTTTGGCGATGTGTGTGGCTGTGTTATAGAAAGGAGCATTTAAGTCAATAAAAATTATTATATTTGTCAATTTTATATCGAAAGGTAATATAGTCAATTCATCATTGTAAGGGTGTCTTTTGTCCATTTTATCAAGTGTGAGGGGAGTCTTTGTCCGAAAATAGGCTAAGTTTCATCTATCCTTTTGGCAAATATCTGTGGGTGTTGCTGTACTTTACCAAATAATCAGAGATGACATGTCAATTTATTAGATCCACGTCAATAACTAATATGTTGTAAATCCTCACCCCTGAGTACCTAAATATTGTTCTTAATTTTTTTTCCCCTCATAAGTAACTCACACGCATTGGTATTATGCCCATTTATAACATCTATTTAATGTTATTTCCATGATAATATAATTTTATTCAAAATTCTTATACGTGAATTTACCTAATATTATTTGTGTTTAATAAATGAAATAAATATGATATGTATTTTTTAATTAATATAAACAAATGAATCATGGCTAGGCATAGCTTGACTCATTTATAGCCTTCTATATATATAAAAAAGTATATAATTAAATTTATAAATTTATAAATTAAGTAAGTGAAATGCTCATGCAAAAAGTAAAATATCAAATACAATTATGATATTATATTGTGTAGAAAAAATAACAATTTAATCTTTGCATGGTAGGACAAAATAATCTTTGCATGGAAGGACAAAATTTGAGTTGGTAAAGTACATCTATCATGCTTGGTAGTAGATTTTAAAATACTTTAAAACGTTTGATACTACCATAATTGTCGTCATTATTTACGAAAATAATAATAAATAAATAAAAATTCGAAGTATATGTATGTCATTATTGGCGCGTGGTAAACGCTCCATATGGGATCGTGGGATTAGCACATGCTAATGCATAACTGCTTAAGTGTAATTGAGCCGCCGGGGTTACGTGTCCTTTTCTAGTTGCTACAAAGTGGTACGTCTCTTCTAGTTCCCACATTTTCCACTCCTCTCTCTCTCTCTCTCTCTCTCTCTCTTCAAATTCTGCCCATCTCTTTATTACACACACACTAGAAGGAAGAAAACTAAATTTTCAAAGTGACCTTATTCCCAAAATGACCTTAGCCTTTAAGAAAAATTTGGGAATTAAAAAGACACTTTTGAAAATATATAATCGTTTTATTATAATTTTTTATTTGGACAACAAATTTTTATATTTAAAAGACCTACTATTATGGAAGGAATAGAATAGTAATAATGGGACATAATATTCATACTTCAGTACTATTATTTTATAAAAAAATAAAATAATCTGGTGTTCCATTTTTTAGGAATAATTTTTATCAATTTTTTTTTATTGAAAATTTGAAGTAGACTGCAAAAACAATAAATGTGAATGCGAATATCATCTACTGTTAAAATTAATAAAATTAATTCAAACTGAGTATTCGCTAGTGAATGATCAATTGACATTTTTAGTGCCTAAAAAAATTGATTACATGAATTATAGTAGTTTTCATTTAATAGTAGAAGAAATGATATTGCATAAATATCACTCTTAGGTTAAGTAGGAAAGTTAAAAAATACTATTATAAAGAACAAATAAATCTCTTTATATAGCAGTTCTGATTTAGTCATATCATCAATTTATTAATTTTTATGTTGAAATTTCAATCTATAAATGGTGAAGGTTCATGCCCAGAAGGTGACATCACATATTCACATGACTTGCCCACTATATTATTTTAGTCATATTCTTAATTTTTTATATATATATGAAAATTTGTTTATAATATCCCCTAAAATTATTTTAGTTTCTAAAATTTTCCTTTAATTTTTTCTTATTTTCCTTTTCCTCTCTTTAAATTTCCTTTAATTTTCTTAAAAAAAATAAAAAATTCTTCTTTAGACTTTAAATTAAAATCCTGACTTCGTCTCGTGACCTAATCTAAATTGTAAGATTGAAGTCTATGAAATTTATAAAAAATTTGATAGGAAAGAATCATCTTCCCATTTTTTATAAATAGACCCGACTAAGATACAATTGACGGAAACAAAATAAACTGTAAATTTATTTCTTTATTGTGCTATAACCAAACAACCACATGCACTATTTCATCTCACACTATCATAAAAATAGCAAGTTGAGTTTATAAAATTCTTTCCTTTATGCGCCATTGAACCAAGACAACCCCTAAATGAACACGTGCACTATAAAAAGTTGTCCATATTTCGACCATTGAAGCCTCTGTCTTATTGGACAAATTATATTCAATCTTTTAATCATTACCTTATGCAATAAACCCCCAAAAATAAAAATAAAATCGAAAGACAAAATTTTGTCTAATGAGCCGACAAATGCCTTGTCACTCCACTTTACCAAATCACAGGGGCAATTTCGCCATTCCACAATCACATTCAAACTGTTTATTACCTGTTTCAGTTCCTAACTTCAGTATTTTACTATAACTTTTCCGCGGAAATAACCACTTTTCTGTTTAATTGGCGCACATATATATATATATTTATATATAGAAGAAAAATTGCCCATAAAGCTTAGAAAAATCAAACTCTTTGGAATTGGTTGAAGAGAGAGATAAAAATAAATACTAAAAAGAAACTTTTAGAGAGAGAAAGTAGAGAGAAACAAACGTAATCCAAAGCCATTCACCCATTCAGAAACCTTTTTTACTTTCTCTCTCTAAAACATCATCCCACTCGATCGGACCCCTCCCATCCCATTCCTTACGCAGCATTCTATCAGTTCACACTCGCACGAATCTGTATAAAGCTATATGTAAAGTATCATATATTCGTATATATATAATATTGTATACATATACATATATATATATATATATATATATATATAGTTATATAGTCTGTGCAATGGAGAGGTACCGTCGGACACCGGCGACGGATGGGTCACGGTCCGATCCGGTGGAGGAATGGAGCTCGGCGGGAGGCGAAACCGGACTCGAAGGTGAGTTTGGTGTCTCTACATTTCAATCTCAATTGAATTCAGTGAAATTTCGCTTGTTTTGATATTGTCTATTGCAGTGAATTTGTAATGTGGATTGTTTGTGAATTTGTTATGGTGTTGATTTTGCAAATGTAGATTCTATGTGGCAGATGGGATTTGGCGGTGGAGGTGAATCGTATCCAGAGAGGCCCGACGAGGCCGATTGTATTTACTATTTGAGAACAGGGTTTTGTGGATATGGTTCACGGTGTCGGTTCAATCATCCCCGGGACCGCAGTGCGGTAACTTTTTGAACCCTATCATGCTATGTTCAAATTTATGTAATTTAGGGCTTAATTTAGTTGGTTTTGGATAGATTTGATAAATGATCATTGAGTTTGTGGTTGTAATTCAGTGTGATCTTGTAATTAATCTGATCTGTTGTGGGTTTATAGTCAGATTTGATGCTGTTTGTGTTTTGAAATCAATACGCCATTAGTGAAATTTGATTAAAAATTGTTGTCAGGCTTTGGGTGCTTCGAGAGCTGGTGGAGGGGAGTATCCGGAGCGAGTGGGCCAAACAGTGTGCCAGGTACTCAGTTTAAACAAATCTGATTGATTTTTGAACTTGGAATTTTGTAAAATGTTTGATATTGTACTATATACATTTGGTGAAATTTAATGGGTTACATCTCTGTGTTCATTTGCCCGTTCTATAAAAAGAATGAGCCTTTGTTTTGTTGATTATTGTTTTGTTGTTTTTTTCTTTGGTTATGCATATGAAGTATGGTTCTTTTGTATTAATTACGCCCTTTTGTATTGAATATGCCGTTGTTTCGCTATTTGTAGTATTATATGCGAACCGGAATGTGTAAATTTGGTGCTTCCTGCAAGTATCACCATCCAAGACACGCGGGAGGATCTGTGAACCAAATGGCACTTAATATTTCTGGATACCCACTAAGACCGGTCTGCGATTTTATATTGTTTTTACTGCTTCTTTTATCTTTTGGTTTCATTTGCATTGTACTTCTTGAAATTTAAGTTGGTTCAGAATTAGAGTTCTTGTCACAGGATGAAAAAGATTGCACGTATTATGTGAAAACTGGGCACTGTAAGTTTGGTGTAACCTGTAAATTCCATCATCCGCAGCCAGCTGGCATACAAGTGCCAGCACCAGCACCTGGACCTTTGCCAGCACTAGCTCCTGTGCCAACACCGGGAATCTATCCAGCTATGCAGTCTCCTTCTGCTCCATCATCTCAACAATATGGATTTATGGCCAGCAACTGGTCAGTTGCGAGGCCTGCTCTGCTTCCAGGTTCATATATCCATGGGGCTTATGGTCCCATGCTGCTTCCTTCTGGAGTGGTTACGGGTTGGAATCCTTACCAGGTATGTGTGTTAAATTCCTGGTTTGATTTTGAGATCCCCCATCCACCCCCAAGTATTTACATTTTGTCAACTCACCTGCTGCAGGCACCCATAAGTCCAATAGCCTCCCCTGGTACTCAACCCACTGCCGGAGGGGCCCCTATTTATGGGATAACACAATTATCTCCTTCAGCACCGGCCTATACAGGATCTTATCTATCCATACCTTCTTCTGGTCCTTCGGGCAGCAGCCAGAAGGAACATGCATATCCGGAAAGACCTGGCCAACCTGAATGTCAATTTTATATGAAAACAGGGGACTGTAAATATGGATCCTCCTGTAAATACCATCATCCACGAGAATGGAGTATGCCAAAAATGAGTTTTGCCCTTAGCCCCGTGGGTCTTCCTCTACGCCCAGTATGCATCTCCACTTACATGCTTTCAAATTTTGATGTTATATTTTGAGGATATGGATTACTTGTTTGATCTTTATTGAGAAAGTCTCTAATAAAATTATCTTCTTCTTATTTTTATTATTTCCTTTTGAAAGAATTGATTGCATAATATTACGTTTGATATATTCCTATGTAGGAGTCTGAGTCTTACTTTTCTGATTCGTCTTTGCAAGTTGCGACCATCTAATAGAAGTCAGAAACTATGTTTTTGTGTGGCACCTGTGTTTGTATGTTACACATAAACTTTTCTAACTCTTTTCTGGGATGCCAAATTTTCAAGATCCAAGAACTAGAGTTCATCATCTATCATAAATATAATGTTATTTTTCCAAAGTTACCTCTTAGCTGTTAATATTTTATTTTCACACACAGCATGACAGCATTATTAAATTTTGAGTAATGTTTCTGAAGTACCAAGTCATTGCAAGTTTGTTTGAAAGACTCTACTGGTGTTGTAACAAGAGCAAGTTGACAGATTGAATCAAAATCTTCTTCAATATCTCCGATATCAATTTCTTGCTGCTTCATGAGTTGGAGTTCTTTCTTGGTTTCTCCCGGTTTTTTCAGGGTTTCTTCACTCTATTTGTCTGCTGCAATTTTCTTACTATTTAAATGTAGATTTTATATCGAATAATATTCTTTTTATGGAAAAAAAGTCGAATGAACTCTTCTGCCACTTATTTTATCTATCATTTGGGTTGCCCTTAACTTCTGTTATATTTCCAATAGTCATGAAATCTGGAATGAGGGTTGGATTGTTTTGTGTTAAGATATTATTGTGAACCCTTTTTATGTTCTGATAGTGCATTGTTGGGAGCAATTGTTATAGTGGTGTGTTTTTTTATCAAAATATGGCAAGTTTAGTAGTAAAGAAAACGATGATAGAAGCATCAAAATTCCTTGTAATCGGGCATTTTAGTTGGACTTGTATATATTTCCAATTCTAACACTAGCATAGAAGGAAGTCCACATATTGAGATTTTTGAAATTCCTGTAGTTGTGACTGTTGCATAAACAAATATGGGCTTTTGGTCAGATTTGCTTATGTTATGCATTCTGTTATACTTGAAAGAACCGCATGTTATTTGATGCATAGAATACATAAACTCTCTCTGTGTTCTTAATTGAGACTTGAGGTTCTTCTTTTGCTGAAGTTTTGCTTGCTTAAAAATATCCTGGAAGTACGGTTTGGAGGAGGGGACGGGGTTTAATGGAAACTAGAAATGAACTTCAGATTTATAGAAGTAGCTTTCATTTTTATTTTCTGGTTAGTAGTAAGGATTGAGCCCGACTTTACCCCGTTAACATATTAGCCCCCATTTAACATATTAACAACTACCATTGGGTAATGATGGCAGTGGGCCAATGGCAGCAAAGTTGTTTATTGATGGAACTAACTAGAGGAGAATGATCCATGTAGTTATTGTGAAGTAGTAGGGATCAATGCTTTCTTGAACTGAATTGAGTTGATTGTTATGGTAGTTTATTTGTGTGTTTGTTTTTTTGAGTGATGCTGTTTGGATAAGACCCTCACTTCGAGATCCTCAGGGTAAGACCTTTCACAGTTGATCATGCAAATGTCAAAGAAGGCAAAGACAGTAGTTAGGTGTGAGTCATGACACAAGGATTGTTAAAGCTTCATTGATTGCAGTTAAGAGCTCATGGAGCTTTTAGAACTACTTAGTTACTAGTTGAAACTGTTTTCTTTTCTGGAAGCAATAACACAAAGTAGTTCTATGAAAAAATTTCCATCATCTCAGGTGGTATATCTTTAATGTTGTCCACTCCACTATTTTACGATTTCATTTTAACAAGCGTAATCTGCTGAAGGAGTGAATTAAACTGTAATTTTTATATCTCTGTCATATTTAGAGACCTTCCTTGAGTATTTAAGTGCTGATTATTTGGGTTTGGACAATTGGAGATTTGGGCTTGAACACGAACAGGTGCTACAAAGTGGTTATTATTGTTCCAGTTGTTGAGGTTAAAGCAATGGATTGTTTAGCTCGGAATCCTGATCAAGAATTGGAAGTTAGGATTCCCTATTGTATAGTGGGACTGGTTGTAAAGTGGAGTTCTTGGATTTTATTAGAGGCTCAAATGGATTAATTGTAACAGAATTACTGGTAAATTGCTTGACAGGGGACTTAAGCATCGGGTTACCTTCTATCCTTCCAGATACATTGTCAAGTAATACACACCTAGAAAAATAGAGTTAGTTGCTCTTTGTACTTGAAATCTTAGATTAACACATCAAAGATGAAATAGATCAGCTAGCAAGGCCATCCAACACACCTTAAGATTGACATAAGTGATCCTAAAGCTCACAAACAACAATGCATTGTACAAGGATATATTCCATTGGCTCCTACTTTAAACTTTTTATTATAGATTGTTGTTAGACAAAATATGAAGCCGCTACGTGAGCAAGAAAATTAACCCCAAGGGCATAGCCTAAGGATAAGGTTCTCACCTCACATCTTAGAGGTTGGGAGTTCAAATCCCTTGAGGGCCACCACAATTTTTTGATAATTACCTAGTTCATGTGGGGGGACTGTGTATATCTGGTAGAATGGACTATGGAGTGTTGTAAGAGGCCTGGAAAAAAAAATGAGCAAAAAATTTGAAGATGACTACAAAGTTTTATCTTTTCCTAGCACAAGGCGCCCTGGAAGTAGATTCAATCAAATAATACTTTTTTGACCTTCCACAGATGATGATAATCGCTGTGCTTTTCTAGGATTCGTTTGATTATAACTCACAAATTTTGGAATTAAATTCAACTCCTAGTCATGGGGCATTCTAAAAAAAATTGTGTATCTATCAGCTTTGGCTATCGTCTAATGGATGTATCTCGTCAAATGCATTCTTCTGCATCACCTGGCTTTAAATTCCATTTTATCTATCTTCGAAGAGGCATTCCCATTATCTTTGTTATACCTGATAGGCACTTCTTGCATCTTATCCACTTTGAAACCTAACATTCCAAAAAATCAAAGCATTTAATATTTAGGGATATACACTTGCATATATGTGTCTGTATACTTAATATCTATATATATAGAGAGATATTTGTTCATGTATAAATGTATAACTCCTCATTTCTTTTGATTTGTTCACTGCTTTCGTCCTTAGGCTGAAGTTTTCATTATATTACATATGAACAGCCTTTCTATATTTTTTATTATTTGTGATGATCATATATTTTCCTTACTATTAGGCTGAAGTCTTCCATTTTGGAGTGACAGACTGTGGATCATGTTTGAAGTGTCAGACAGTGTTGCTCAAGTGTCCAAAATTTTGAAATTCATTGTCAAATGGTGGACCTTAGAAACTGGTGTCAACCATGTTCTAGGATTGTTAGTGTCAAAGAAATATTGGTATCTGACACGTTTCTTTGCGGACATGCATCCCATGTGGAAGTGTTGCCATAAATCTTTTTTGCACGCACTTAATCGTCTAGTGAGGCAGTAATTGAGAATTTTTTGTGGTGTCCCTTTGAAATCTACAAGTATTCTCCTCAATCATATATCTCAATCTGGTGTTGTCCTTGTATGCTTGTGACTTGACTAATCCTTCCATGTTTCTTATTTGCCAAGTGCTTTCTGCGCAAGGTTGCCTTCTTGTTTGCTAAATTGGGTGTGTTTGTGAGCAAGGATTAAATGTTGGCGCATTGGAGGTTCTGTTGGTTATGATAATATTATGTATAGCAAATGTGTTATCTGTTTGTACCAACTAAACCCATTAATCTCTTTTTCTTTGTTTGATGATTTTCAAGAAAAAAATTTATATATCTAGAAATATAGAAGGACCTAGATCAATCGAGGCTAAGCCTTAAAATGCACATATTTGATGGATTGTTTTGAAATAAAATAATAAGAATTTCGAGCATGCATACTCACATGTGTGGTTGGAAAATAAATTAGCTCTCTCTCTCTAATATAAACCCTATATTCCTTTCATAATTGGCTACTAATTTTGTAAAGAGTTATACTGCAAAAGACTCTCTTTGGCTTTACTAAAGGCTCTCAATACATATTTTAGTTGCTTCTTTTGGTTATAGCAAATACTCTCATTAAGGACTCTCTCAAGATTATTGTGATTCATTTTCTTTCTCCTCTTTGTCTCATGTTGAATATGGCAATATGCTATTAATAAGCAAGCACTGTAGATTGAATCAAACAAGTTTTGACAAATAAAGAATTCTCTACAGATTTCTTTTCTCTCTTAGCTGAGATTCCATTGATTTCTTCTAGGTCGGATTTAGTGACATTCCAATGTTTCTTCTTCTTTATTACATCTTTTTTGCATCTAATTGTCTGAATTATTTATCAGGGTGCACCGCTTTGCAATCACTATGCACAAAGTGGAGAATGCAGATTTGGGCTCTCATGCAAGTTTCATCACCCAATGGGAACACTGAGTTACAGTCCGTCTGCGTCTTCTCTTGCTGATATGCCTGTTGCTCCATATCCTGTGGGATCTTCAATTGGTACTTTAGCTCCATCGTCCTCATCATCAGACTTGAGGCCTGAACTTACTGCAGGATCCAACAAGGACAGCTTTCCAACCAGAATGTCATCATCTATGAGTGTGTCTAGTGGTTCAATCAGTTCGATTTTCTCAAAGAGTGGACCTCTTCCTCATTCAAATGTGCTGCAGTCTGGTCAGAGTACTAGCCCTTCAATTAGTAGCAGTAGCTCAGGTCATGGAGGTGAGATTCATACATCAAGCTGAGGAAAGATTCAAGAAAATTGTCATAACCCTGTTGATCAAATTTCACACCAAACAATATATTTTTGTCCAAGTCCTCTGATAGGAGGCTTGTTTTCTTGATCATCATGGTTCTACATTTCAGATCTAGAATGCCACAGTTCTATTCAACCCTCTGTTCATATACTCTTTATATGGCTACCGCCTGCATCTTGATTAAGCCATAGCAAAACTTCATTGATCCAGCCAACCCCATATAGCCTTCCAACCATCTCCTGAATAATGAGAGAGAAAGCCCGCTTCCATTGGGCCAATTTGCATCAATCTCTCCAATTTTTGGTGGTGTATATCTGTGCTGTAATCTTTTTTGGAACGAAAAAGATCAGTCGCACACTCTTTGTCCTTTCACATTGACTCTTTGTTTGTGTTTATATTTTGTGGTTCCTCTTCAACTCTGGAAACAAGCTTCCAATTCAACTTGCAAATAAATTTGAAGGTGATTGTGTTCCATGATTCTATCCCTTTTTTATCTAGTGTTTAATGTGTGGAGGGAAAAAAAAAAAAAAAAAGGATATTTCAGAGGCTTCAAGCAATGCATAATAGTACTGTCTTACATGTAATATGATGCATGGTTATGTTGTGAGAATTGAATTGCTTGAATGGTTTCTCAACAGAACTGTTACTGAATACAGGAAAAAAAAAATGAAGGAGAAAAACCTTTTGGTGTTTGGCTTGTTTTGGACGAAGGAACACTTGAACTCATACAGATTGTTGGGAATGCACGCTTTCATACCATAATTTTTTTCATTAATACTAGGCTGATATGAAGGTTATTTAGTGCAATTGTTCCTGCAATATTCATATGCTGTTATTCTGATCTTATTGGTATGATCTGATGCCATGGTTGATTCGCAATGAGATTGTTATGGCCTTGTAGTTGGATCAAAATGGTTGATTCTCAATTTTCATTTGGTCTATTTAATTAGCCTTTGTCACTAATTTTGGACTAGTGGATTCCCAAACTCTTCAAATCGGATTGTTTTTTCATTGGCACTAAACACATTTGGACGCTAATGTACTCCTTTGACTTGAACCCTAGACTTTTTATTTTGGAGGTGATGAAGTACCATTAAGCTACAATATTTTTAGTAAATCAAGTGGTTTGGATTCTTCCTTTACAGATAACAAATATATAATAAGAGTGACGAATTACATAACATATCATTTTTTAAAGGTAAGGTCGGGGGTTCGAGTCTATAGCCGAGTGGACATGTTTGAAGGAGTAATTTACTTGAAAAAATAAATAAAATAAAATAAAGGAAAAGAAGAAGCGTGAATAACAAGATCCCATCTTATGGTGAAAATTTTGATATTATATTTAATCAAGTACTAATTATATATGTATATAAATAACCACATATTTAAGCTTTCAAATTAATTTCTTGGCAGCTAATCATTTACCATCGTTCCCATAAAGTCAGAAGCACGGATTCAAGGACAATTCTACCTAGCTCCCACCTACATCGTATATGTATTCATGTGTGTGTGTATATATATATATATATAAACACGCCTAGGATATACATAGAGGAGGTCTTAAAGTTGATTTAGAATTGACAAGCATCCACAGGCTATCATCTTTTGCACTCCAGTTAGGCATGAGATTCTGATTAAAGCAATGAGACCTACATGAATGATAGTAATACAGAGATGAGATTCATTGCTCCAAATTCAGGCAACATTTTACCTTGTACAAATATAGAGATGATAACTTTATATCTTTCGCAAGATAAACCTATATATCATGAGTACCTAGTCAGGAAAAGAAAGCCAAGAGAACATTGAGGTGAGTTCAAGAACTAATATAATAGCTTTCTGGTCCTATCAAACTCATCCAAAAGAGAGTAATATCATGCATTTGGTATCTATCTATATCTAAAAATCAATGTAGTTTGTAATCAAACATATTTGTAGTTGGAGCTAATTTTTATATAAAAGTTAAAACAAACCTTCATTATCATATAAAAAAAAAAAAACAAAAACAAACATTCCAACTCTCTCTCTCTCTGATTCTCTCTCTCATGTGGGATCATGAGTGTAATTACAATTGCAAAAAAAAAGAGCAAGACATCAATAACACAAGAAAAAACAAAGTTGCATGTAAGTTGGAACAAGTAATAATTAATATACTCTTACTTCAAGATGAGACCTTCAAACCAGCGCTACTCAAAAGAGAGAGTATCCAAAGTCAATTACATCAACAAGAGGAGAAATTGAAGGTGATGAGCAAGTTGCAGCTGAAGAAGTTGCCGGAGGCATTAGCGCGTAACTTGGATTATCCTCCATGATTGGATATGAAGTTTCCATGCACCCATCTTGCACCACCATTGGGTTGTTGATCATAGCCGAGAGTTCGCAAGGATTCAGCTCCCATGAGTATTGCTCACCACCCCAATATCCATTATTAAGTTCATCAAAGCAAGGGAAATCTCCAGGGTTAGGAGCCAATGCTGATATACTTGAAGCATCAAGAGAGAGTTGATTGATTTCTTCACAATGTGATTGAATTTCAAGAAAGCTTGTGTTTGAGCCAAGGTTTTGATCATTTGAAGCGTTGAAATTGCAATTGTTGAAGTTTGTATTGGTGGGATTGGAAGGAGGCTTCAAGCAGTTATCAGGAACAATGCAGTCCAAGTAGCCTGAGTTTGTGTCACTAGAGAAAAAGAAGTTATTATTAGGTGATGAAGTACCATATGAAGATTGAGAACAAGAGTCATTATCAGATTGGATGGTGGTCTGATCAGTTTGACATATGTCAAGCTGACATTGACTGTTCTGATTGGTTGGTTTTTTAGTACTCTGAGTGGTGGTAGTAGTAGTAGTGAGGAACTGGGATGGGTGCAAGAGAGTTTGGACATCAAGTGGAGTGAGAAGAGAGTGGAAAGTTGTGTTGTCAGAGTATATGAAGTTGGTTCTTGCTTGGGTGCCCTTCATGGAAAGGGCAGCCCTATCATAAGCAAGAGCTGCTTCTTGAGCAGTGTCAAATGTCCCAAGCCAGTGTCTCTCTTTTGTTGTAGGGTCTCTGATTTCAGCAGCATATCGTCCCCAAGGGCGGCGTCTCACGCCAAGGAACCTCCCTGGCTCTGCTTGCTTCCTCCGGCCTCTTCGCTCACTAGGTTGAGGTGGGGATGTGTTTCGCTGAAGTAGCGAAAACCCCATTTGAGTTGGGATGGTTTCAAAGCTTGTGAAGGGTTTATCTGAGGTTTTGGAGGTGGACATTTGGTAGAGGTACTTAAATGTGGTTGAATGGGATAGGGAAGAACAAGAGGAGGGACTTATGTCTGAGACCTATAGCAGAGTTGGGAATGTAGGAGGTGAGAGGAGTGAAGTTTTGAGTTTGAATGGTAGTGTGAGGAAGCTATGGAGAGCCCTTTTAAAGACTCTATTTTGATCATGGAGAGAGGGCAAAAGGACACTGCACATGTCATTCACTGAAAGACCATCCTTCCTTTTTCACCCACTTTTAAAATCTTTTTTCTTATTTTCTATAAAACTTTTACTCATTCATGCCAAATACTTATCAGCTACAAGTCATAGGTGAATTCTAAGATTCCTTGCATAGCCAAAAAAAACTTAATAGGTTGTTCCCTAAGTACCCTTTTGAGTTCTTGTTTCATTACAACAGCTATTCTTCCAAGTTTCAGTTTAGTCTAGAGCATGTATGTTCTGTCCCTCATATTAATAAGGCATAACCATGGTTTGTTTCGGCTCAAGTCATTTCAAAGTTGAATAGGGGACTAAATTAAAGTAGTATCTCAACTAAATAGTAAATACATTACATACATGTCTAGATCAAATTAATCAAAGACAGACACATAGGAATGTTTGATTTTAATGAGAAAATTTTGAGACTTATGATTGAATGGTTGGTGAGAACAAAGTGCTTGAATAGTAGGATGATCCTTAGGAATAAAAAATAAAAAAAAGCCAAAAAAGGGAAGCCTCATGTTATTGTTTTTGTCTGCAATACTCCTAGAGAGTCTCAAACGTTTGAATTTGGAGGTTCTAATCATATTGGCCTGTGTGGTATTATTGTCTGATATGCTTGTAGAGATCCGCATTCTATGCAAAATAAATCAGCTAAATTTCTTGTGAGTTCTTGTCTGCTTCATGATTTTCAAAGAGAGCAGTTAAGATCATTTCTAACTTAACTGAATTATCTAAGAAAAAATCAATATAATCTTCAATGTTTCTTGCTCTGTGTAACGGAAACAAAGCTCATGAGAGTCCAAAGACAAAAGAGTCACTTCATAAGGGCTCTTAAGTCAAAGTTTAAGCTATGTTTTGTTGTCAGTTTTTAGGCTTCACATATTACTTTTGCTATTATTATTCCATCAAAAAAAGCAGAGTCTAAGTATATGGTAAATTGTTGCAGCATATAGCAAGTAAATCTGTTTTAAACACAATTAAATTTAATTTCAACGCATTAAATTTAAAGGCTTCTGGTCAAATATAATGTGTTAAAAACAAATCTAATTGCGTTGAAACATTACAGCACGTTATAGAAGAGAATCCGCTACAGTATAGGATTGAGACGCTCCATTCTATCTCCTTCATAATTAATAAATCTCCATTAAAGTTAACACAGCAAAATCTAAGAGAGAAAACTGGTCTCTTTTTCTCTAAAGCCAACCACAAAAGGCTAATAGTCAAAAGGGTAATCAAAAGCTTAAAGAACACTTGGAAAGCAAGGTTGATCAAAACTGCCCAAACAAAAGCACCAAGTGGGGCACTAATCCATGTTATAAGCAGTTCCAACAGGACATATATAGCTTTACTCTTTGATTGAACTTCACATGCCTAAATGCATTGGGAACTACAAAAAAAACTAATCATAATCAAATGGGTCAACCTCCTTTCTTGTTTTTAACATTTCTAAATTCCAGAAAGCTTTGTCACCGGTCACTATTATGGTCTATTTGAGTTGTATATTGATGAGATATATATATAAATAGTAGTAGAACAAAACTGAGAGATAGAGAAGGTTGCAACAATGCATAACATAATTGAAATATAAAGGTGTGACATGGACTTAGAATATATGACCCTTGACTCCTCCACTATGGATTTCAAGATCCAAACACAAATGAATAATTTAAATATCCCCATTATCTGAATACAAAAAAGGTGCCAATTTAATATACCAAATGTGATTATAAAAATTACCCATCACTTCATAGTATGACAACTACTGCAATATGTACTATAAGCCTAAAAAAAGACCCCATATGACATTTATTTACTATAAGCCTAAAAAAAGAGTGGGTGAAAAATGGAAACATGAAATGCTCATATGATGAGGTGCTAGTGGTTTAACTGGTGTAATATATGTCTGCTCTTGTATGGTATGGAAGTGTGTTTTTAGGGCATTTGTGAGAATGAAGAAGAGTCGGTCAAGGCTTGCACATGAAAGGATGTGAGCCACTTCACTAGGGTTTGGACTATGGAGTCCAATTTGAAAAAGTATTTACACATTGTTGCTTAAGATGGATGGGCTTTGTTGGAACTTTAAAATAAAACTGATGGGCAAACATGAGCTGGAGTAGTAGGGGCCCTCTCTCTCTCTCTCTCTCTCTCTCTATATATATATATATATATATCTATATATCTATATATATATGTTGTTGTTACGCTGACAAGAGAAGAGAAACTTAATTTGGGTCAGATTAGAATTTTGCACATTCTTCAAAACAGGCACACACTTTTGTCTAGTTTTTAAGGTCGCCCGGAATTTAGGGAAAAAGATTGTGTTTTTCTTAGGGCTTGGGAGTTGGACTTTGACGAGAGAAAGAGAGAGAGTTGATGATGAGACATCTTGAAATGGGAAGGGAGCAAATGTTCCCTTCTTATTTGACCACTTAGAATCATTGAAGAGTCCTTAGTCCTTAGCAATTCCCTCTAGTTCTTCAACTACAAAAGGAGTAGGGTAATTTAGAGATTATGCTGTTTATTTGTCATGATTAGAAGACCATAGTGCCACTTTGAGAGAGAGAGAGAGAGAGAGAGTGCGCGTGTGTTAAGATGACAATGGTTCGTAGTCGCAATGTAATAAAATTGAACAAATATTACTGTAAATTGACAAAATCAATCGGTTCATAAAAATGTGTATCGGTATCGAATCTTTGAAAAAAGGTTACGAACTGACCAATATGACGAATCATTAATGTGACATATATGCTCTTAGCTCTCCCTAATTTTTAGGTTGAACCTAATGCCATCAACCTATGAGGAATTGCACCCAAGTGTTCCTCTTGTATAATTTGATGGTATTTTCAATCTCTGTTCTCTTTTGTGAGGATGGTTTTGCCTTTGAATAATGAGAAATGCTTTTGAGGTCGGAATTTTGGTAAATTCTTGGCCGAACAGTGTTTATCCACATGATATAATAAAGGGTAAAGTGTAAAAAATTCTCCAAAACTATGTTTGAATTTGCAAGTAACACTCGAAAACTATATTTTGTGCATAATATCTCATAAACTATTACATTTTGTTGCAAAATTGCCCAATGCCTAGATTATATTTCATTAAATGACCATAATGTCTTTTCTTATTGAATTACACTTAATCTATTTTTCTTATTGAAATAAATTATATATATATATATATATATATATATATATATATATATCATACTAATTTGATGACATATTATCTATTAAATTTGCATTAATTTACCTCTAATTTTTAAAATTTATTGTGTAAATAAAAATCTTAAGTACAAAATTTTTAAAAATTTCTTAATTTTTCATGAATAAATTACATGAAAAAGAAGGTATTTTTTTACGATAAAAAAGTTTAATCTAGAGGTATTAAGTTTTATTACAAATAATAAAATTTTAATAATAAGTTAATCATTTTAGGAAATGACAGTTACAAATCTATTTATTATTTTCATTTTTATGATAAATTGATACTAATAATAAAATTAAGGTAAATAGTATAATTAATATTTATATAAGAGAAAAGATAATAAAAATAATTTAATAAGAAATGACTTAATGAGAGAGGGTAAAATACTCTTTTACGCTACAACAAATCAAAATAGTTCAAGGGAAATTTTTGCAAAAGAGCAATAGTTCAATGAGTATTTTTTTCCACTTTACCCGATAATAAATGGGATTCATGTTGGATTCCACTTCACTTAGCTTGTGAATAAACATTGTTTGAACAAGGATTTCGGTGCAAATCTTCAGTTAGAACTACACTACTCTTGAATAATATAAGAGCATAATTTACCTTCTAGATAGATAGATAAAAAAAATTAAAATTAAAAATTAAAAAAAAAAATTAAATTTATAAAAAGGAACAATATATTAAATGCATGTCTTCTTAAAAAATTAAAATATAAATAATGAATTATTAAATTGGGACAAAACGAGAACCAACTTAGTTGCGAATTTGATAATTAATATTTCTATTCCTTAAAAAAATCATTATTTGATCAATCATTACCAGGGGCATCATGTAAAAATTTAAACATGCATACATAAAAGTAATAGTATTCACTATTCTCACATATGTCACGTCTTAAATCATAACCAAGAAAATTCTCACCCATCAAATTCATACATCTTCACTTGTCTATCTCAAAATCATTCGTGTCAGTAAGCATTCTATCAAAATGCTATATTTAGAGGTAATTTTTCCATCATTTATGAGTTGACATCTACTGTTAACACAGTTTTACAGAAATCAAGTGGTGCATCCGATTGGGAGATGAGATCATTTGCCTTCAAAATATAATCTAGGGTTGGTAATTAGCAGGGTTTGAACGAGTTTTGGACTAGTCATGAATAAGTAAGTAAATAATAGATTAATAACCCGTTATCAATTCGTATAAATGAGTTGGGTGTTAAATGGGTGACTTAACCCACACCCAACCTAATGATCCGAATATTTTTAGACACAAATTGTTTAAGCGGATTTTGTTAATTTAATGTGAAAAGTATAATTGTCCTTTTTTTTTTCTTTTTTTTTTTTTACAAAGTAAGAAATGTTAGAAATTGGATTAATAGATGCAGAGAGTTGAAATTTGATACTCCAAAATCCATCAAAAATATTAATTCACTGAGTTATTGAGGTATCTGTAACTGTTCTTAGAAAAATACTTTGTCCACCAAACTTGGTTCTTTTGGTTCTGACTTCTAGTGTGTGAGCTACATGCTAGAAAGAGAGTTAGATGTGGAGTCTATTTGTAAATTTTAAAATTGGTCAAGCTGCATGTGGATGCACTATAATTTTATCGTGTCTAGTACTATATTTGATAACAAGTAATTTGTTAAAAAATAACAACGGATTTAAGATATTCGACTCTTAATATTGTCATTATTCATAGTCTTTTAATTTTTGTGAGGTCTATAAAATACCACTAATTATATAAATCTCATAAAAACATTGAGAGTAATGGCAATGTCTGGAGTTAGTAAGAAAATAATTTTTTAAATAATAAGTGTCGTATTTAGAACTCTAAAAACATGCTCCGGCTTTACAATTATAAAACTAACCCATTTATGATAATGGGAAATTCATTTTTATGACATGATATATTTTGAATTACTCAAAATTATTATTTTAACTTTTGTTTTCTTTTTTTTAATCTTTCACATGGAAATATACAACATGGGTATTAGAAAATAAGTAAAATCAAAACCATTCCAAAAAATAGAAGGGTACTTAGCTTTAATACACATACATACATATAGATTCACATACATATATATACCGTGATTGAGGAAATGAGCATAAAATTGCATATCTTGGAACAGAGGTTTATACAGGGAAACACAATCTAAAATTGTGTGCTAGAAGACACAATACAATCTATTACAATCGAACACTAATCGGATTTGGTGACCTACCTATTTATAGTCAACCAATTAAAGATTGGCGACACAATCAAACGACCCACCAAACCCACCCAGTCCTAGGAATAGGATGTGGCATGCTCAAAAGGACACGTGTTTTAGTGTTCCCTAGTACTTTCTAATAGATCGACGGCTCGGACGTGTCGATCACAAACTACCCCTTTTGGGGTCCAGCTCAGCTCTGTGACGTCACCGTGGGGCGACGTGTCAAACAAGTGAACGTGAATCGCGGGGCAGTGTATAATGATGATCCGAGGTTAGATGTACGGTCAGGATTCGACTGGGGAGAGGACCTTATTATAAACAGTGAAAGTGAATCTACTACCAAGTACTCACTATGGAAGAAGAAGGCAGTCAAAGATACGGAGTCCTGATTTTTTGAATGGACGGTTGAGATTTAATAGTAGGATTTCTTTAGTCCTGATTTTTTGAATGGACGGCTGTGATTTAAAAGAATCCTTCTTTTGTCCCTGTTTCCGGCCACAAACGTAGAGATTTGTTCCCTCAGTCATCACATTCAAACTATGTATGTGTACTCGTCCTTACATATTGATATTGTTAGTTAGAGACTATTTCATGTTCATGTTCTCCATTTGTTCCTTTCAAGTCAAGATTGAACTTTGTTTCAACAATGGTTTTGACTAAGGCTGCTATTGTTTCGGTGTAAATTTTTTTTTTTTTTTTGATAAGATTTTATTTTTTCAGGTAAAATATTTTTTTTATTCAATGTTTGACAAAAGTTTAGGTCGAGTCCATCGAACGATACGTGTAAAATAACTTCTTGAAAATTGATGAATAAATTATATTTATTAATTTTAATATTTTTTTTTCTTTATAAATATTTTACAATAATCAAACATCAGAAAATAAAAATAAAAAAATTTAAAATATATTTTACACTCAAACAAAAGGAGCCTAAGTGCTGGTTTACTGCGATAAAATAATGAATTGCTAATTGATAATGTAATAGAAATGTGGATAATTTTAATTTACTACCATTTATCTCTCTGATTGTGAGTATTATTACTCAATAATAGAAATTCCTCATCGAACGAAATTCTATTTAAGCATATTGTCCGACTTCTCAATCAAGCTGTAATATATAAACACACGTACCGGTGTTTATATTGAATTATCACAACACCATACTCTCATATAAAATTAAGTTGTAATATTTGGACTGTGGAGTTGTATTCCTCTTGAATTTCAAAACAAAAGCTATATTTTTTTCTAAAAAAATTACATTTTAAAAAATATATAACTTGAGACATTGGAGTTGCATAATGAAAGTAAGAATTTTTTATATTAACCAAACCGTTTCATAAGTTTCTCTACGGATTAGGACTATAAATAATCATCTTTAACATTCAAACAAAATTATATATATGGAAATTTTCTGCACCACTGGTTGTTGTGGCTCCTAAGAGAGATTCGATCAACCTTCAAACTCTCCCCCACCTAAAAAATGGAGCACCCAATATAATTTACCAGATCCTCAAGCACTTATGTAGAATATGATATATCAATTCCAAAAAAATTGGTCAGGGACACACGTACAACTTCAAACTTTGAACAACCAAGTGTCAAAATTTTCTCTGTGGTTGTGACCAGTGACAATAAAAAGTCTTTATCTTATATAACACATTTAATTTCCAAACAACATATATAATTTATTTATTTATTTAAAAAATGATCCATTAACTCACTTAGTACAGTTACAAAATAAGATGATCTTGTATGGTACAACCACTAAACTAACATATGATTGCTACATTTTTCACATCAGCTCTCATGACTATGATTCTAAAAAGGAAGAATGTGAATAAGCCATACCATACATTATCATCATAAGCAACAAATTAGCTCTGGAAGAACATAGGTTTATTATGTCACTGCAGCTATTTCATTGAATCTGCCAACCATCTCCTCCTCGTATTCGAAGGACCAGAGGAACCGTCTTTAGCGTCATGCCACACCATCTCCATCTGGTATGCAACAAAGATACAGGTCAAGAACTGAACACAGCCAACTTCTATCATTGAAACTATACCAATAACACAATATATTGAATTAGCTAAGACGGACGTGTAGTTGGCATAACCTGGACAAACATTACTGTGGATAAAACCATTGCAAACTTTCATATTGGTTTTTAATGCATCAAGTTTAAAGCAGAGTCAGTTGTGCTCCTACCAAAACTACGTATGCTTTAGTTGGATAAAATAGACATAGAGGTGTCTTTTGCAACAAAACTCTTCAATTGTGGTGTGCTAGTGAAGTAATTTATGATCTCATAACTACTTGTATATTTCTATTTGTAAACTAATTATTTGATGCAAGGATGAGGCACGAGAATGGATCAAAGGGTGATAAAATTGAGATAAAAAGTTTTAGCGATATAAACAGACCTCCCCAACTATGACAGTGTCACCCTCCTTGACACCGAGTTTGATGAGAGACTTGTTCACACCACATGCATCCAGAACATGTTGGAACCTTCTCCCGGAATCTATATATCTGTTCAAAAACATGTGATGGGAAATATTTCGATGAGTTGCGTTAGAATGCTAAAAAGATGTGATACACCCAAAAGGAGAGTAAACTTTAGGAATTATACTTTGTCCAGATAAGGTTACTCAACCAGCCTGATAACAGGAGCTGATAGAAAATCCTGTCTGAGATTCAAATATATGTAGGCTTTGAACATGAAAAATCCACAAAATATACATTTTTTTGGGTCCAACCCCAAGTTTTCTCATGAACGAGTCCAACCAAAGTTATACATCTGAGAAACCAAGGTTCAGACAAGATAATACTCTTCAAATTTTGGGTTGGCTATGTTCAAACATAAGGAGTAGACCGAAATGCATCTTTAGAGTCATGTTAAAATTTTAACAAAAAATGATTCACAATATAATGGCAGCAGAAAAGAAGAGAAAAAGTATGAACCCAATAGCAGCGTGAACGAAATACGCACCTCCAGTTCGTCATTTGAACAAAACGTTGCAACCCTGATCCAACTACATGCCATGTACTGGAACTACTGTCGTGAGAGATCTCAAACTCATTAATAGGAGCAGTACGCTGCTTTTGTACCATTTCAGCCACATGGTTCAAATTTCCAGGATCTCTCCAATCTAGATCAGAAGGAACTTGTCAATGGGGCATCCCAACCAGGGGACAAAAAAGATGAACTACATACGTGTGTGTAATTGAAACTGCTGACATAATTATAAACTAAATTATCAAATTACGCGTCTAAATGGAGGGATACAAAGAAAAAAAAATCATACATGCATGAATTGATTTGGAAAAATCAGTTACAAACATTTGATATTCAAATATCCTACTTCCAACAGTCATTTGTTCTCGTCTCCATATAATTACCCCAAACATCATTAATGCTTCAGGTTGAGTAGCAATCCAATAAAATCACATTGACGAATATTTCCAAAGCAATCAGGCATCATCATCTAACACTTCGTAAGTAAAAATGAAAATTTTGTATTTGAAAAAAGGAACCTATTGGCACACCAACATGTTCAAATACCTTAGACTCCAATAGTTTTTAAAAACTGGAAATTTAGGTAAATTAGTTTTTAGATAATCTGAAACAAGAATTTTGTATGAAATTAAAATCCAGAAGAATCATAGTAGCATGGCAATTCAATGTGGATAAAATTAGATATATACTATAAAAATTCATTTTTACTGATCACAATGGCAGGCAACTCCATGTGTGTGATGGCCAAATTTGCAATGTTGCAAGATAAATATACAAAAATCCAAAGAAGAGAATGAGAACAAGAATGATTTTAGAAAGTTAAAAATAATATGAGGAAAAGAGCAATTCCTTGGAGAGGGTGTGTGAGTACCAACTAGGAAAAAAACATATATATGAGGAAGAGAAGAAATCTTCCTTTCTAGCCTCCATACATTAAATTGGGCTTCTCTTATTTTTAATTTCACGTTCCTATGAAAAGAAAATGTATTGCATACTAATTATGGCACACATGCTCGGATGCACATACACACATAAGTAGCTATGCAATTCCTCACACATATTGAGGACAAGAGATACCAGAATGTGTTCAAACAAGAAAGATGAATTTATAACCTTCCTTATTGGCTTGAATTCCTTTTCGCACAAGCTCATAGGCAGCGCAGATCACTTCATAAGTGCCCTCTCTTTTCACGGCACTAATGCAGAAAGGTTCAATTCCACGAGCATGCAGCCTTTCCTTGAATGATGCCCACTTTTCAGATGCCTCTGGAAGATCCATTTTGTTGAAAGCAACAAGATAAGGCTTTTCAGCAATTTCAGGACTAAACATTTCCAGCTCAAGACGAACTGCATCAAACTCATATTCTGGTTGTTGTGACGAGCCATCAACAATATGTACCTAAGCGTCACAGCAACAACATGTACCTAAGCCTCCATATTGATAATTGTTCTATTAGTCAACAACAATGTTTGCACAAGCCCATCCAACAGCAAGAAAAGTAAAATAAAGAAAGAAAAGTTATATGCCAATATCAATCAAAAACACTTCAATCAACTCAGAAATATCCAAAATGATGCAAAAGCAGTTCATACAAAGGATGTAGTTAATTCTTAAAGGGAATAGAGAATTAAAATTACTTCTCGATGAATAGCAGGATAGAGGATCAACAATGCTAGGTCAAGCAAAGAAAAGAGACTGCATGCCACCATCATGACGTAGAATTGAACAAGATAAAAAATACACACACAAATATATGTGTGTGTGTGTGTGTGTGTGACATACAAAAGTATAGTAAACAAAAGCATCTAATGGCACGGCCCGTGTGCCTATGATGTATACCGTAGCGACACACTAATGTCCCTCTGTATATGTGACGTCCCACATCACCATGGGAGAAGAGATTGTTGGCACTTTTATGTGTGGACACCTCCTAACTGTGTAAACGCATTTTGAAAACCGTGAGTATGGAGAGTGTGCAAATTGGACAATATCTACACAAGGTGGGCGGGCAGTGACAATAACCTATAAAAACTACAAAAGAATGTACAGATTCTTAAAATTGTCCAAACATCAGAAAATAAATAGAAATAAGTCAATAGCTTTAAGTTATGTCCCGACTACAAATACCGCCATATCTTCAAAAGTCAAAAGTAAAACCTCTTCACAAACACCACATAAGATAAAGCATAACTGCCTTCTAAATTACCCGAATCCTCTTTCTAAAACTATCCAATCTCACAACCACAATTTAGAAGAAGATGATTGGTGTTTCCTTTGCCATCTTAAACATACAACACTAAATTGGAAGCATCTTCCCTCTCCATAAAAATTATTATGAACAAGCAACTCCGAAGCTCCCAACAACGACCATAAAGGAAACATTCACCAACGATATATCCTTTAGAGGAAAACTAGGCCTCTCCTCATGAAAAATACTATATGTTAAGATCTTACAAAAACTACCATTCTTATAACATTTTCACTTCAAAATGTTCCCATAAGTCATGGAAGCATACAGAACCTTAAGACAAGCACCCGTCGAATTTCCAATTCTAAAGAGCTCCAAAGAACAGGTAGCTTCCACACCACATTATTCTCAGTGAACCTGACATAAACTGACACAGTGGTTTGTGTATCCAAAGCAATGTAGATATATCCAAGAAAGAGATCTTCAAGGTGTGCCTTATCCATATATGAGCAAAGATCCGTATGGAATAGATGATTGATAAACACTCAAAAATGCTCTCCCAAATCACTATGAGAGATAATCTGTTTATCTTGACCAACATTTAAATTGAATGAATTATTGAACTTCATTAACATGACTAATTCTAGAAAGTTTAAGCGCTTCTACTGAATTGAGTACATAGTTAAGGATCATATAACTGTTACATTAGCATGGTCTTCCAATTATGCCAAGTTAATTTCAAACATACAGCAGACTGAACAATAATAAAGCTCTGATGTCAGATGGTCCATCAACTCTTATAGGCAATACTTGAAAACAAGCATCGAACATTACTAGGACCTGTCAATAATAAATTGCAGAATGCAAACTCCTAATCTAAATAAAGTGAGAATACCAACTTTAATTTCATAAGTTCACAGAAATAGTTAATATGACAAGATTAAAATTAATAAACAATATATACAACTTCTTTTTGTTATATAACTACATGTAAAAACTCTATATATCTCAAATATTTTTATATTAAAAAATTGCAATTTACAAGGTTCATACCAAAGCAGAACATCTTTCAGTGTGCCGAAGAAACTCATGGCCTAAACCAAAACCACGGTGTGCACCTTCAAGTAAACCTGGCAGATCTGCCACTACCATTGTAGCATCATAGTCAAATGAAACCACACCAAGATTAGGAAGTAAAGTTGTAAAGGGGTAATTCGCAATTGTTGGCTGAGCAGCACTAATGACGCTCAGAAGCGTGCTTTTTCCTGCATTTGGAGCGCCCACTATTCCAACATCTGCAACCAACTTGAGCTCTAGCTCCAACCACCTGATCAAAAACATCAGTACTTCCAAATATCATCTTAGGAAGATGATCACAAAATGACATTAGCCACCCTTAGATTGAGAATAAATCAGGGTGCAGGGCTACAAATTGGAAGGCTACCACTAAGTCCTGACAGTAACTAATTCAGCTCAACTAAGCCCTATCTAAATTATCCAAGGTAAGCTTAACATCTACCAGACTACCAGTTATTTAAGCTTAGAATTTGCAATTAAAGGGAAAAAAAAGAAGGGAAAACTACAAAGTGGACAACTCTTTCACTATCTAAGAAATCTACATCTAAAAGACGCATGCTATTGTTTTCATTTCTCAGTATTGTGCCGTTACAAGTTGAAAGGAGTCACACTAAGTCTGATATGTTGCAAGTCCAAGAGATACAAATATTTAGATGAGTTTTACATTAATGCTTTTATTTTAAATTTTAGTATGATGGTTTGTAAGAATTATCATAACCGTCAACTAATATTTGTTAACTAAGTCATGGAGAAAATTTTCTAAAAAGAGGTAATGATGGAAGAAAACTTTAACAACTACACATCATTTTCTGAGATAATAAATCACAAGTTGTTAGCAACAGTTGAACTGAATCAATTGAATCAGTTACCAAACAAAGATAACAATCAAACATAGAATCAGCCAGTTAGAATGAACTCACATTTCTGGACCCTCCTCTCCATTCTCCGCAATTTTTGGCACCCTATTTGTCCCTGACTTAAAAGATGCATTGCCTCTACCACCTCTTCCACCTGCCAACAATAATGCCCTCTGCCCTGGATACAACAACTCCAATAGCACTTCTCCCTGCACACCATCTTTAACAGCCTCCCTAATAACTGTCCCTGGCGGCACCTTCACCACAACATTCTCTCCTTTCGCCCCATACTGCTTCTGCCCCCTCCCATGGTGTCCTCTCCCAGCTCGAAAGTGAATCTTTTGTCGAAACGGCAATAAAGAATTCATCGTCCCCTCAACTTGGACATACACATTCCCACCCCTTCCACCGTCCCCACCTGATGGCCCTCCCAATGGAACATACTTCTCACGCCGAAATGCCACCACGCCATTCCCTCCATCTCCTGCTTTTACATAAATTTTCGCCCGGTCGAAACATCTCATCACTGCCGGAACTCCTTTCTCTTTCTCCTTCACTTCTTCCTCTTCTCCATCAAACACATTCTCAGATTCTACGCTATTAAACCCTAATATACCATCATCTTCGACGTCGTCATTGAAATCCTCATCACTTTCGTCATCAGAATCGGAGTTCACCTCAAATAACTCAAATTTACCATAATCAAACTCAAGTTTTTCTTCTTCTGTGCTTAATCCATCGTTTTCAATCTCAAATTTGTTTTTCAATGGCTTTGAATTGGAGGAGGACATTGTGATGGTGGACTCGGAGAGCTTGACCTCAGTTGAGGATTGGTGCGCCGTATCGAAGGAAGGGAGAAAGAAGTCATCTTTGGGAGGGAGGCGAGTGAAGGTGGTGGCGTCGCCGCCGGAGACGGAAGACAGCGACGGTGGAGGGAATTTGTGAGAGGTGGTTCGGGTTCTGAGTTCATGTTTAGGGTTAGGGTTTTTAAAGAGCTTTCTGTTACTGGATTTGCGAGAGTGTCGAGTGTTATTAGAACGAGCTAGAGCGTGTGGAGAGAAGCATATTGATGAAAATATAGAGGCCGCCATGTTTGTTCGTGCAACACACTGCGTTTGGGAAGCTGTAACGGAAAATGGTTTGGGTACTGTGGGGATAAGGTGCCACGTGTCTTTACCTTAATATTCTTTTTATTTTATTACTTCACGGCCTTTAACTTATAAAACAATCACTAATGTTATAAAAGAAGTGTTATTTTAAATCACTATTCTTTCGTTACGGTAATATTTTTATCTTATGAAAATAATTAACTCAAACAGAAATAAAGCATTTTACTTTAAGGAAATAAATGTATTATATATATATATATATATTTTCTTATTATTATTTCTTAATTTAAATAAAATTAATTAATTAATTGTAATTCAATAAGGTATGACAATATGGCCATTTAATAAAATATTGTCTAGGCATTTTGTAAAAATATATATATATAAGAGTTCAGGATGTATTATGTATAAAATATATTTTAGGAGAATTATTTACAAATTGGAACATGAATTTGTTTTTTTTTTTTTCTTTTTTCAGTTTGCCCTATAAACCCATGCCAATTTTTATCTTTTTAACGCGGCCGATAATAATTGTAAAGGGTGAAGAAGTGTTATAGGCTGGTGATATTCTCCAAAAGCTAAAGGTAAGTGAAAAAAAAAAAAAAAAAAAAAAAAAAAAAAAAAAAAAAAAAAAAAAAAGACTTCGGCATTTGCAGGGCAAACAATGTTAGTGGGAGTAATCTGGTCTTCCTCAAGGTTCTGCAACTCCCTTGTAATTATTATTCTTATCCAGGTACTTTTTTTTAATCTTAATCATTGCATTATTTGGCTTTGGTTAATGATTATAAAAGATAGGACTTTTGCCAAATGATGCGTGTATGTATGTATATGCGTTTATGTATGTATATATAAATCTCATGATATTTGCTGTCAATGTGATCTGAAGGTAGCACAATAATCATTCATACATATACGTATATATAATGTGTGTGTGTGCGTGTGTGTGTGTAATACCTTGAAATGACAAGAAGAAATATTAGTGGGGTACCCTTGAAATCTTTGTGGACCCTTTTGCTAAATTATATTGGATCTTAGTTGGAGAAAGAGTAGGCAGTGAATCTTGTGGGGGTAAAGGTGGTTTAGAAGCATTGTACTCTGTATTAGGTTATGTATAATCTTGTTATCAAACAGTTGATTTTGCCTAATTCATTTGTGGAGTATATGTGTTTGTTTGTGTGTGTGTGTGTGTGTGTGTGGATATTGATAATTACCCAGAATTCAGGATCATAGCTTTAACTGAACCCCATAGCATAAAAGCTTTTGTTAAATTATTGGCCTTTAGCATTATGATGCTCTGATGATCTTCATAGAAACTGAGAGTCATCATGGCTGGTACAATAATTAAGTTATCGTTTGGTTGACAATCTGAAAAATAGTATCTTGCTTCGAAAAGAGGAGAGAGCTTAAGCAAATTCGGCTCTATGAATCAAAAATCTGATTTTTGAATTGACATCTAAACGGTTCTAATATCATTATAGCCCAAAATGCTGTTTTAATGGAACTATTTTGTCTAATAACCCTTTCTTAATTAGTTTAATATGCTATAAGGTATACTACAGGAACTACACACACATACATATGCATATATCATGCTGATATCATGACATTTTTTTACTTTAATTAAACTATCGTTCTTTTTCACCAAGATCTCAGGTGAATTTGAACCGTACTGTATAAAATCCTTCGATGATAATTATGTTAAGTCATGTTGGCACAAATTTCTTGTCAAGCTTTTTAATTGACATGAACCAATGGAAGTTTTTGAATATGATAGTTGTGGCCATTTGCATCATCCATCACTTTTAAGGATTCAGATTAGTTTATGAATATCTCCCTTTATAGCTGCAAAATGACAAAGGCAATCGATTGGGTCATATTTTTTCAACAGCATTTGAATATGAATTGGGAGGGTAATTTAAAGGCATGCATTGGGCAGTCCTTTTGGAATAATTCTCACTATTAGACTAAAACAATAAGTCCATACGGAGGCATTGTCGAATCAAAGCAAGGACCACTATGCGCCTCTAACAGGATTAGTGACTGGACCAAAAGGGAACTTGTATACATCCAATGAATTTTCACTTTTTGTTTCTGTTTGAATGGTGTGACTGCTTTTCCCATCTCTCCTGTTTTGAGTTCATAAAAAGACTGAAATATACAACACGAAGTGTATGCTAATAATTATATTTTTATAAACTTTCTGCATTTGTTACTGTGTCAAAATATTGGTGTGCTGTTAATTATCAAAAAAGAAAAAGACATTGGTGTGCTGTTTGGTTGGAGCAAGAGACGTGAAACTGTAACAGAAGTATTGCAGCCAGAACCTATGGGAATTGTACTGTGTAGACCACAACTATTCTGCTAAAGAGATAAGTGAGGTGAATTCCATGGTTGTCAAAGCAACTAAGGATAACGAACCTAAACAATTATAACCAGGCACCCTTTGGACTCGTGGCTACAACGTAAATCCAGGACATCCGTAATCACCTGCAAACCCTGGATAGCGTTAAACCAGAACTTGAACTTGAGACATCAAGGTAGTAACTCCGAGACCCTACCATCCAAGCAACCCCAAATCTTTAGTAAAATATTCTATAGTTTCTGTTGTATTTTCTGCATACTTAAACTAGGTATAGTTATCATTTCAATTGGATACTGTACTGGAAGCCATTTCTTATTTGAGTTGCCATGTATTATCTTTTCTTCTGCTTTATAATGGTGAAAGAGCAAAAGCCAATATTGTAAAATGTGGTCTCTTATATTTGAAGGTGCTAGGAGGGGTAGACTGGTTAGAGACTTGACCTTTGACATTATTTGCATATAGTAACTTTTCTTATACTTTGATTTCGTGTTCTCATGCTTAACAGTTGAATTTCTATCACTGCACCTTATGTTTATGCACCCTGTTCCCTCTAGTGGATTCTTTTAAGTGTTTGACTCTGTTTGATGAACCGGTCAATAAACAGGACAATTGCCGAGTCTAATAACTGGAATTCTCTTGTTACTAAAGTTATATACACAGAGTAGAAATGGATAGACTTATTATCTTTAGTGTCCTCATCCGGGTGCATCATACTTCTAAACAATCATTGTCTAGTGTACAAGATCAAGAGGGAAAATCACATGCACATCAGTGTTATGAACTTATGCAGAAGCTTCTGCTTTTTGGTCTTTTAGCATGTCATACTGAAACACTTGGGACCTTTTTTGAAAAAAATGACACTATAATGGCCCTATCCACGTGCACATCCTTAATTTTGTCTCACTTTTAGAGATGCACAACGACTTATGTTCTTTAATTTTTTCACTGAAACTCAAAAGTCTGATAAATAGTGAATTGTTCCTATGTCCTAGAAAATTTTATAATTCTATATTTTTAAGGAATGGAAGTCTTATTATGTCACTATTGTCTATGGAGAAATGTGTGTATTATGTACTGTTGGCATCAAATATGTTTCCAATGAACTGATAAAGGTCATAGATTCTTGTTTCATTGCATGTAAATGAAAATTGTAGCATATCATATCCGTTCATGCTTTATAATGTTTGATGCAAAAATGGAATCTAAAAGAAGGAAAGCAAAAAAAATCACACTGAATGATGCTCGTTTCTGTCAGTTTTGTCTTCTCTCTGATTTCCTGTCCTACTCACTCTATTCATTTTGAATTTTTTCACCATAGGAATCTTGTGAGGTTTCCTTGTTACATATTTGACTGCTAGCTGTAGAGAACATTATTAGACAAAACCATGTAATTCAGGACCGGCAGTCATTATTGTTACTGAACTATCCATCTAGAATATAAGAATGTTAGTTCATCTCATTACAGAAAAACAAGATCATAACTTACATCCCACCTGTTTTCATAATTTGAGTTGCTTCTTTTTTTTCCTCAACAAATACTGGGGTAAAACAAAAAAGAAAGAAAGAAAAATATGCTAAAGCTAGTTTGCTAGCTGCTAGTTGCTTGTACGGATTTGCTTAAGCTTTCTCAAATCGTCAGCACCGACAGTTCTTCTTCTCTATATTTTTTCTTATTTTGAAGTAAATAGCTCGCTTCCAAGTTTAAATGTTTCGATACTCTCACCCATGACTGTGAGATTGATCTCTTTCTCTTGGATCTGGTCAAGCTCTGACACTACCATTTCCATCTTTGGTCTTCTTTTTCCTGGAAAACTCATGCATCGAAGTGTCAGCCTTATAAAATCTTTCATTCCCTCACTGGTGAAGCTCCCAATCAGCCGACAGTCCACACAATCATTTGAATCCAAATGCGTTTCAACCTTCATAAAGGTGGGAGAAACAATGAATTTAAGAAACTACGCCTTGACTTAAGTCATTGATGTAAATAAATTGATAAGAGTGTTCAAAATGGAGGATAACCAGAACAAGTCCAGAACTTTAAAAGATCATCATACTTTTAAAGAATTCCTAATCCCGTGCACATTTTTTTGAAAGGTTGCATATCATATGTTTTAGTTCAGAATTCAGTAATTTGGAAATTTTCCTGGGTATCATCTTTGAAATTATTTCCAAATTTTCATTAATTTCCAGATAATTTCTGAATAGTTTGGACTTATAACATGTTCATCTCCTAGGAAAAAATGAAATGGGAAGAAATTAAAGAGGAGAAAAGAAACCTGCTACATGTCATATTTCTTCCTGACTCTAATTTATAATTGTTTTTATCTAAATGGGTGGCAAGATTCTTACGTTATTTTATAGTTATTGTTGACTAAACATAAATTTCATAATAGTTTTAAAGGATTACATATTTAGTATTACAAAACATATAACAATCGATAGTTTTAACATACCCATTGAAGTATACTTTCATTAGATCCAAAGCTGTCAATATGTAAAGCCTCCCTTCCTGTTAGAAGTTCCAATAGGAATACCCCAAAGCTGTACACGTCGCTCATTTCAGAGAATATCCTCGTATGGCCTACCCTAAATATTGCATCCATAAGGAATCAAATATAGGTCAAAGCCAATTTTCACATAAGCAAATGAAATGCAACCAGAAAGAATTATTTTACTCTGGATCTTGGAAAACATTGACACTGGTCATGCGAGATGGACCTGCATCTTCTACTCTTTGGAGTAGTCTGGAAACCCCTGCATCTGCAACTTTAGCATTGAAGCTTCCATCAACCAGGACATTTGCTGTTTTGAAGTTACCATGTACAATGGGAGATCTTTGGCTATGCAAATGGCATAACCCTGCATTTGTAGGACACACTTTCTTCAAAACATATCTTTTATCCTTTAAATTTTTTATGAAATCAGAATATTTTATCAGATTGTTTTGTTATACCTTTAGCTGCCCCAAGAGCTATGGAGATCCTTTTCCTGAACTCTAGTTTTGTTGTCAAATCATTTCCGGTATCTGTAGAACAATATATTACTTGATTGTATCCGAGACACAAATATAAACAACTTCTATCGAATGAGCATACCATATAAATGATTGCACATGCTGCCATTGGGTACATGTTCAAAAACTAACATTTGATATCCACTTTCCTGGCAGTAGCCTAGAAGAGTAACCAGGTTACGATGCTGAATTCCTGACAAGTAAGCTACCTGTTATTCAATATTGGAGAGTTTAGAGCTCTGAGGAACAATTTATAAAAACAGTGTAACATTTATTAGGATGAAATTGAAAAGTATTGGAAAAAAATACTAAAAAAAAGTCGAAGATTTTTCATGTAGTAGGATACTAAAGTTGGCCTTACTAGTCTTATCCCCCTTTAGATTCTAGGCTATAGGGTGATTCATTTTAATGAACTGGTAAGATTCTTGAGTTTGTTCATGCACAAAGGACTTACATTTTTGTTATTCAAATGTAGAAAATAGTGAGAGTTATTGTTGATTTGACATACCTTCTTAGAGGATCAACCAAGGAAAGAAGAACAGAGTGAACTTTTAAACTACAGTGCCCGTGGTTCTAATATAAATATCATGTTGCAATTTTGTTATACCTCTTCAATTAGTTCTTGTCGAGGGACACCAGTACGCCGTTTGATGGCCACAACAGTCCCATCACCAAGGAATCCTGTATAAACCAGACCGAAACTTCCATATCCAATTAGTGTGCTTTCATCAAAATGCTTGGTAGCTTGCTCCAATTCTTCCATTGTGAACTGCCTTGCGCCGTGTGGCCCAGATAGAGGTGGTGCTGCAGATGAACTAGCTCCTCCTCTTTTCAACTCCACTGCAATGATGGAGCAGGAAATTAGAAAATGTTATTAATACTTGGAGTACATGATTTGGTACTTTGGGGAATCTCCATGGCTATTTCGGTCGAAAACTTACCTACTGTGGATGGATCTGAAGAACCTGTATCTGAATTCTTGTTTAAGTTTTTCCGCTGCATCATGCAAAACCACACAAAGCCAATGACTACTGCCAATACTGCTAACACCCCTCCAGCACCTCCGGCTATAGCTGCGAATGAGGTTGACATCCAGTAAAGCCTCCACGTCTCCCTCAACAATCCTGCACATTGAGTCTGGAGTATAAAAGAATCAGAGAGTTATCAAAAAATCATTCAGAGACCCGGAAATATATATATATATATATATATATATATATATCTGTAGCAAAAATACTCAAAACAATGAATAAAATTACACGGTTAAGGGACAAATTTTAGGATTAGAAACTCAAAATCTTAATACCAATACTGGCAGCCCCAGATCAAGTGTTCCTCTTTATTGGATTTCGTCTTGTATACCGTTGCTTATCATGTGCACAATTAATCAGAAATGTGAGCTGGATGATTCCATATATCCAGTTGGGAAGCAGAAAAGGATCAATATATGTTGCCAATTTATCTTAAAGAGATCAGACAACTCACTTGCTTTTCATAGTACCCCACTTTGCTGTCATGTGTTCATCATATCAATGAAGACGACAGCAGGGAAGAATCCACATTACCGAAGAACATCCTGTTTCCTTGCAAGATAGACCGTTGTTCAATTTATTTTCATTTATCGGGGCGAGAGGACAGGGCTTTGATTCTCAAAGCTGAAGTGATTATCGCATCTTTTCGCTGGCAGAGACCATTTTGGCCTATCTATGTCTCAGCATAGATTCTAAACAAACCTTAGAAACAGTGTATACTAAATTTTAGTGGTTCAGGTTGAAAAAACAGTGATGCAGTGTAAACTTGGATGGGAATTTGTTGAGCAGAAAGAACTTTTATCAGGTAATATATATATATAATATATACATACTTCCATGTAAATACATACAGTTAATTCATCAATCTTAGTATGAAAACTGTGGAACCTTTCTACCAAAAAGAATCATTGCTGATGTATTAGATGAGCTGTAAAAAAGAAATTGGTGATTTTTACTGTGTGGACGTGGACAGTGATGAAAGTGACTTTAATTGTACAGGCACTGGAAGACATCATTATTGAAGGGGATCAAAAGAAAAGGTAGTTATCAGTCTATCAGTTTCAAGTCTCTTCTCTCAATTCACTCTTTCTGCCTTTTTGCCTCTTTTATATCTATCTGACCTGGAAAGGATGATGAGAATGAGACTCCTATTATGAATAAAGAGATAAGATGGGACGACTCCTCTTAAGGGGATCATGAAGTTGAGCCAAATAAGACATTACCACACCAAGTCATGCAGCTGTTCACATTCTATGGTTGGATGTTCTTGTTTTTCTTGCATCACACAGAAGAATTTTTTTTTTGTTTTTGTTGTTAGTAAAATTGGGTGTTTTTAATTTACCCCAATTCTTTACTTGCTTTTGTAGATGTTTATGTTATGAAATTGGTCAAGCTCTGATATGAGTAGGAGGAAATTCTTGAGCTGTAAGTCTCTCTCTCTCTCTCTCTCTCTCTCATTTATTTATTTTTGCAAGTTTCCCTCAATTGTTGTATTTTGGGTTGCCCTGGAAAGTAGAACGGGATTGGTGGAAACTGGAAAGGAAGTTGTCATGTTGTGCAGGGGTGAAGGATGGATATGAGTGTGTGTGTGTGTGTTGTGTGTGTGTGTGTGTGTGTGTGAGAGAGAGAGAGAGAGAGAGGTTTTGTTGGGAAATGTGGATATCTCAAGCAGGATGTTGTTTGGATCTGTTGTCTGAATCCTTGGCAGCAAGTGGGGATGTCTGTGCATGGTCTTCTTGTTACAAAGATTGTTTTCTTTGTTTCATGAGCTAAACTGTGCAAATATTGTGAAACAGTAGAACTGTGTACTGGACAGAGCAATTCAGTGGTCCCAATACCAGCTAATCTCTCATTTAAGACCTCACAACCAACACAATTCTTGGACTTCAATGTTGCTACTACTTGTTTGGTCATTGGGTCATCTAAAGACATCCTCATAGGGTCAATGATCAGACCAGTCGAGTGGATATCAACCACCTGATTCAATACACTTGCTATGTGGACAATTTTATGGGGTCCGGGATTATATCCTATCGGCCAATGATTTGCGTGTTAGTTTTATTCAATATTTCTGCTTGTGTGTTTGGTTGTAATTGACCGACGATGTAGTCCCACACCACGTCTTGCATGTGGGACCACCCCATTTTTGTGGGGTTGGCTTCCATATGCTATGCTGAGTAAATGATGCATCCATTTTCTCAAAAATATATATTCTGATTTCAAATTTTTTCCTTCTAAGATTTGATTGTGAGGTTAATCAGAATATGGACCATTAGGTGCCATTTTTTTAAGTTCCAAACAGAGGAAGTTGATAGAAATGGACCAACAGAGTTGCAGAGGGTGTTCTGTGTTCTTGATAAGCTAAAAGTGTTTCCTCTGCCAACCCATGCAACATTCATTTTCATAATCAACAACAGCTTTGTGATTGTTTCCATGTCAAAGTACTGGTTTCAAGACCTTAAAAGCTTTAAAAACTTTGATTCTTTGTGTGATTTTTTATGCAAATGAAAAGGATGTTCCATTAGCCCTTTATGATTCACACTGCTCAACAATCCCACCTCATTGAACTGAAATGATATCTAGGAGTTGTCATTGGCCTTTTTTAGCATTATATTCCTAACTTTGCTTACCCTCTATAAATTCCAAAATGCTGTTATTAGTCTTTATAACACATAGCTTTCATTACAACTAGGCTTGATAGGTACCATATATCTTTCAAATTTGATTCATTTTATTGTTTTATTCATTGATGATCCGATGCCCCAGCCGTTTTTTTCACGTAGATAGAGTTCAGCAATTACTGATTACCACATTAGTTGTTATCCAATACTAATCCTCAATTTTATCATTTTTATTTATTTATTTTGTCATATTATCAATGAGCCAATGCTTAATACTGCCAAAAGAATAATAATAAATTAATTAATTAATAATGGATTGTTGATCTAATAACATGAGTATAATCGAGGTTCGAGGATGTTCTTTTTTTGTGCCGAATTTTAGGTGTATCTAATTTGTCATATTAGAGAGAAAAAAAAAAAATTTAATTCAAATATTAAATAAAAAAAATAAAGTCACTTTGATCTTAAGTGGATATAATCCACTGAAATGACAAAATTTAAATCAAAGAGGAGTCAAACACACGCTTGTGTAACAAAGGGTCCTTTGAATTCTAGATAAAGTCTCACCAGCTTTTGTATGTTTGATAGAACATTAGTGGCCTTTTCATTATCCCTCACAAGATTGATGGAACATTAGTGGTGGTATTTATGGTACCATTATAAAATATGGTACAATTATGCTAAGTTAGAGGGTGTATTAATCTTGAGAATACAAGTAAATAAAAATTAATCTATGGGCGTCAAATCAAGAAGACCATGATTTTTTTTTTTTTTTTATTATTATTAGATTTTACCTTGGACCAAATATACATACATTTATATTTAATGTCATATGTGTGAATATACTAAGTTTGTGGGCTCTAGTGAATAGCACCCATCTTATTTTTTGCATCATGTATGGTCAGCCTCAGGCTCACCAAATTGTTGCTTTATATTTAGAAAATCCATTCTTTGACATCAGACCTTGTGTCAAAAAAAAGAAAAACAAACAAAAAGAAAGAAAGAATGACCTCATGATTTTTTGGAAGTATATGTGTAGTAATATTGCTATTGAAGTTGACAATTTATGCTAGGATTGAATATGTTTTTAGTTCGTTTTTAATTTAACAGTACGTTTGTAAAGGGACCATCAATTGCGGGCAAATCACAGTTTTTATTGGGTCCCTAATGAAAGAAAGAGTTGAAAACTTTAAAAACTCCATTTCATACCTACAATAACAAAATTTAATATTGCCTATGTCATGGATGTTTTTCAATTTGAGTAAAAAGTTAATATTACTGTGGCAACTGGCATTGTACAATAAAAAATAAATAAATTATACCAAAACCTCTTTTGAATTTTTCTATTGACAGTCATGTACATTTTGTTCATTTTTTGTGACATTTGGTAAAATTAACAATGACACTTGATCATCACCTGCAAGCCACATGTGTTGGTGAATAAATTGATCTTAATGCCTCTTTACTTGTAAATTGACCTACTTGGAAAATAAACTTACCATCTTTTGATGGACCAAACTAAGCAACAAACGTCTGAAAGTGATTTTGGAAATCATGCTCATCCCCCAAAGATTATGATTTGCTCCATTAGAATAAATAAAAACATTCTTTTTCTTTTTCTTTTTTGAAAAAAGGAGAAAAAATACAGAGCAAGTCGTGATTATGTTGTTTCTCAGAAAATAGGGATAGTTTAGATTGATTCTCCATCCAGAATGAAGTCTGAAGCTAAAAAAGCAAAACCACTAAGAAATTGACTTAAAATTGTCTGAAAAGTGGAGGAAAATCCAAAACATGATTAATCTAAAGAACAGAAATGGGGATCATATAAAGGCATGAAGCAATATAAACAATCCAAGAATGACCCAGTCTTCATTGAATGGTCTTAAGGGACGGGTCGGTTCGGTCATTTTTTTTTTTTTTGGTCCCAGCAAACAAGAAGCCAACAATGCATTACAAGAACAAACAACTAAAACAAGCACACAACATGAACATAAAAGAACCACAGCAAATATAAACTAGACTACTTCAAAGAAATCTAACGTTAAGCTAAGACATGACTATTGTCATGAGAACCAAAGTTTAAACAGTTTCGGTAACAGGAGAGCGTTTAGCACCAGGGGGCGGAGCCTTTCGTGGGCTAACCGAGGCTGTAGCCCAGGTCCAAAAAAAAAATTACTACTACTATGTAAAATCAACTATAGTCCAGCCCAAGTTCCCAATCCATGATAATTGGCCCAGCCCACTAGCCTAGCAAACCGAAGCTGATTCATGAAGAAGACCACCATTCAGCTTAATTTCAACCCAAAAAAAAACCTTTTTAAGTTTTTATTTACCAAAAAAAAAAAAAAAAATCCCTTTTCAGTTTTTAAATACTTTTCTATTTTCTTCAACAATGTTTTTTTTTTTTCACTTTTTTAATCTTAGTGGAAATTTAAAATAAATAACTTCAACATTCTGTTTATAATGATATTTGGTAATTGAGGTTTTTTTTTTTTTTTTTTGGATTATTGTCTGAAATTTTTTGATATTGGTTTCTTTATTTTAGGTTAAATTTTGATTGTTTTGTATTGAATCATGTTGTTGGATCTAGGTTTCTTCATATTTGGATTTCTCAAAAGAACTAATAAAATTTTTTTCCCAGTAAATCATCTTTTCTGCTTGAATTTTTTATTTTTTTTATTTTTTATTTTCCAGTAAATCCTCTGCTTGAATTTTTTCTTTAGCCCCCTCCACTTTCAAATCCTGGCTACGCCCCTGTTTAGCACCAACCAACATTGCAAATGTCGTTGCGAAAGATTGGGATGAGTCCGAGGTAAAGGAATCCCCAATATCGTGTACATGCAACCCAATCCACCATAAGAGGAGCCCATAAGATAATTTCAAATACAAAGGCTGAAGAACCACCAGATGATTGGGCTTAGGAATTTCAACCAAAACAGGCGGTGGTGTAAGATTTCCAACCTGGGCCGAGCCCACCATGTGATTGGGAATAGAAAGCAAAATTGGGCTTATGTCTTGACCTATGAGACCCAATTGCAAGGGGCCAGCAAACCCGACACTAGAAACTTCTCCCAGAGTCAGATAGAACAGCATAGCTTCCTCAGTATGCCAAACAGGCAAGATAATCATTAAGGCAGCTGATGTGACTGCTGCTGGACAGTTCAGCATCCCGAGGCTTCGACGGGCACGGGTAAGCATACCCGGCGATTTTGACGATGAAAATAGCGAATTTTTCGATGAACTCCTACGATCGGATTTTCCTTTGTTAACAAATATCCACTGCCGTGATTGAAAATGTCCTGACGGATTCCCAAAGGAATGGCTAATGTCCTGACCTAGCGAATTTGGAGAATCAATCCAAGTCCCAATCTCTTTCAACATCAGTGGATATGGAGAAATCGGAGCTTGGCATGAGCGTGAATAGTGGCCAAGGATGCCGCAAGCAAAACCAAACGCAAGCAAAACAGAACGCCAGTTGAGGATTTGAACGATATGATTACCCACACTTGAGAGACAGCCAAATAGGCACCTGCACTCCATATATGCCCAAACATAAACTTCACTCTCAGTAAGAGGGAAACATTTTGCGTGCCAAATCTTGCCAAACAGGGAGTAGCAGGGAACGGCGTCCGTAATACCCACAGCTTCACGATCCTCGACGATGAGAGAAATACCTTTTAGGAAATAAAGCAACTGATGTTGTTTGACCCAACCACAATAAACACAAAAAATAATGGATGCGAGGCAAAAGGAAGAAAGTGAAAGGAAAACAAAGAACCAGAACCTTTTTGCATATAAAGCAAGAAGGAGTAAAGGAAAGGCCCAACAAAACTTGTAAGTAGACTTGGATGATGTGAGTAATGACACGTGAAGAGAGGGTAAATCTCACATACACTCACATACCACTTTTCCTTTGATCCCCATAGCAATCAATAAAGCATAGAACAGTGAACTAAACTATGATTCAAATATTTAGACTAAAGCTCTGATAAACAGAGAACAAGAAGATGGTTATAAGAACCTAACTCTGAAAGCCAGAGGACCTCTACAGGGAGAGGAAATTTTTATTGTACTAATCTTAACCTTCCCATTCTTAAAGGGTTATTGACTCAGGTATCAGCTTATTGGACATTCCATTGAGCAAACACTCTTCTAGTGTAGCTCATTGCTTGCCTCACAACTCTTGTCATCCCTGGTCATACCATTTCTTGAACTTCTTCATTTTGTGCTTTTTATCAAGACCATGCAATATTGCAATAATTGTAAGGAATAAAACTTGTTCTAATTTTTTTCAAAAATATATTTTTTAGTTGTTTAGACATATAAAGTTTTATGTAACATCACTTTTTATTCAAGTTCATAATCTTAATGCCTCGCAAAATTTTATCTTTGGGGGATGAATACGATCTCCAGAATTTCCTTCTATATAACGGGAATGAGGTTGCCTCCTTTGCTTTACTTTAGGGCAAGCCCTGACACTCAAAATTTTGAGAGGTCGTAGGCGAACTTTCAAATATAAGGCCTGTTATCGATAAGGTTTCGCGCTATTAAAATGAGACGTTAAACACAAAATATATTAATTGTTGAAAACACACAAAACAAAACCCGATCTTGGTGCTTTATAAAAAGCATGATCCAGTTTACATAAAAAAATTAAAAATATATATTCAACACAATTTAGTCACAAAAATCAGAATTCAACTTCATATCAAATAAATGTGATCGTCTTTCATTTTAAGCTGCAAAATTGTTATAAAGTAAGTTTTCTCCAACATCGTCAACAGTAAATAAGATTTGATCAACTTTAACTTTGAAAAGTCTCTCTCAACAAATGCAACTGGGATAGTCAATAATACTCTATATGCAATTGAAGTATTTGAAAACAATAACCTAGCCTTTTTATAACATCCAATACCTCAATTGCCTTTTTTGTTATTTGTGGTAAAGTTTCTCTTAAGACTTGCAACTTTGAAAATAAATATGTCCTATCAATATTAGAAACCATGTCACCTTTTAGAAAATCTTTAAGGTTATTTTGGAGGAATGTGACAGTTGATTATACCCATGAGTTAAAATTTTGCTTGTGTAGACTAGGGAACCAGCCCCGCCCCGTTTTTTGGCCGTTTTGGAGGACCGTTTAGCTTATTTTGGCAGTAATGGTTTGATGTAATAAAAACCGGCGCAAATTTGGTGTGAGGGTGGGGAGGTTGTCCCGCCCCGCTTCATTTAGATAGGCAAATTACTTGGTATTCTTATTTCATTAGTATATATATTTTCTAGTATATATATTAAGTAACCTATATAACAATATTAAAGTAACAAATGAATTTGATTAGAAGGAAAGTTGCAATGGTGAAGAACTAAAAATGAGGGGAAAAAAAAGAGCAAATCTATTTCAACAATAAATAAATTATGGTCTTAAACGGAGCGGGGCGGGTACCCGCAGGGGTAAAAATGTAAAACGGTTGCGGGGATGGAGTGAAAAGTCCCCCCGTTTTTGCGGTTTTGGACAGTGACTGGGGCATGGTTTATAAACAGTTGTGGGGGCGGGGAAGGGTACACCCACCCAAACCCGCCCCCGTTGCCATCCCTAGTTTAGATCGAGCTTAACATTTTGGTTGTTTAGACTGGGCTTAACGGAGTCATGCTCGCACATGAGTTCAAAAATAATATAATAATAAAATAAACAAGTTTATGAACTTAAATTTAGAATTTTTTTTTCATTTTTTTATTTTGATTTGAGAGGATAAAAATAAATTATTGTTATAAATTTATATTTATATATTATAAGTAAGTGTGCTTATTATCATATTTATTTTAAAAATTATTTATTGTCATAAATTTACATCAGATACTGTTCAATTATTAGTTTTGAGTAGTGCTACTTACGACGAACACTTACAATGAGTTGTCTGACCAAATAATTTTTGATTGGTTATTTATGCTAAGTATGAGTAAATGGTGGATCTTATTTTCTTATTTATTGTATAAATAACCAATTAAAAACTATTAATGGAGGGTTTTGAAAACTCACTTTTGAGTTAAGCCTTCTAGGATTACTATAATACTAAAAATCTTTATACACTATTAATATAATAATAGTTAATACACTATTAATATAATAAAAGTTAATACTAAAAGAAATATTTATTTTGGAATAGAGAGATTAAAAAAATAATAGTTCCTGCAGTGGATGTGCCCGTGTTCCATCGTCTCTTCCCTAATTTTTCCTGTAAAAAAAATAAAAAGAAAAAATAGTTATTAAGTTATATGCAAATATTGGGAAAAAAATTATATGCAAATATTTTATAGTTTAAATGGCTAATATGCAATTAACGCAAATAAAATCTCTCTCTCGCGTTTAAGCACCATCCAGCTTCAAAGACGAATAGTAGATCGAGAGTCGAGGCTGGAGAGAGAATTAGGGTGTTGAACCAGTGAGACATGTCTCTGGTTCTAGGGTTTGTGGAGGTTCAAACTCTGTGGAAATCGAGCTGCATCTGAAGGGTGAGGTTTGAAAGGCTTTAAATACACATTTAGATTGAGAAACTCAGGCAATGTACAGTGGCTCAAGTGATGGCGAAGGCCACGAAACATCGGCGCCCAGGAAGATCCCGCCGGCGTCTTCCATGTTGTGGGTCCGAAACCTTCGTAGATTCATCGGATCCGGTGCCGGTCTCGGATCCGAAGCCTTGATGGGTCTGTGTTTTCTTCAACTATTCCTCCATTTCTTTACACACGCATGTATATATGTATATTTGCATTGTTTCCTTATATGTACATCTAGAATAATTTGACTGATATGAATATTTCAAAAAATTATTGGAATAACATGAGTAAATGGTTGAAGGGATTTCACAAATTTGGCAAATTAACAGTTTAAACATCATGTTTAATTTAATTCTCTGTACACGAACACATGCTCACTAATGATTTGAGGGGGACTAAACTCGATGCTGTTTTTGGAAGCTTACGAGTCATGTGTGACAGTGGGTAATTTGCGTGTGGACTTATCCAAAAAAAAGTATTGTGTAGGAAAGTTGTTGGATTGACATTATACATTTTTATTAAATTTGGTTTGCTTTGATGGTAATTTGTAATGTGGGTTTCATTGGTGTGTTTCTAGACAGTTCAGTTTGGGGGAGCAATTTCACTATCTTATGATGGGGTTTTGAACTTCTGATAGAATTTATGTCCTTTGAGTGACCTTTGGAAAAGGATCAGTGTGTGGGGTTTTGGTTGTAAATGACTTTATTGGAAAATTCAGTTTAAATATTGGGAAAAATTATGAGTGAACATGGATATCAATTGCTATAATATATAGGTAAAATAAGAATTTCACACACTGTTGGACTAATTCCTATCATCATAGGTCTTTCTAAAAAAAACTTCCAAGATACGCATCCCCCTTTGTGTGGAACACCACGTTTGTGAAGAGATTGAAGTACCTCGAAATAAATTTAATGATTTAACCGTATGCATTCTGATTCTTGTTTGTAGAGCTTGAAACAAAGAGAATCTTGCTTGATATTTTTAAAGAGAAGCAACAAAAGAATGCTGAAACTGGCACAATTCCAAGCTTCTATAAGAAGGTATGAAATATATTTGTTTGTTTAGTATTTGGCTCAGAAACTCTTTGTTATGAAAAGCTAGGCAGCTAAATAAGGAGTCACTTCTTGTGATTTTTCCATCTTCTTTCTTGTTGCTTGTTTCCATTGATCGAGAGCATATTCCATTACTATATGATTTTCTGCTGTTGACTTGGATTATGATTTCCATACAAAACCTAAAGACAGAATTTTCATTATTCACATAAAATTCGAGTAGTTTCTATTTTTTTTTTTTATATCATTTTAAAATTACGTACTCATATATATATATATATATATATATATATATATTTTTTTTTTTCATTTTCGTTTTTTTCAGAAGCCCGAAGAAGGATCTATCAGTCACAGAGTCCAGAGGCTGGCAAAATATCGTTTTCTAAGGGTATCACTTGCTCTCTGCTGGTTTGATGGTTTGTTGGTTATTATTGCTTTAGCATTTCATTTATTGGGGGCTTTAAATCTAGTATTTAAAAAAATATATATTTGAGTGAAAAAGGTCTCCTTGTCTTGTGTTGTTACATTGAAACTTCAAATTTTGTTTCTGTACTAGATAAATTATTAATAAACTTATTAGCCCATATAAGACATCAATAAGGTTATGAAGCCGTAATATGTATGATTGTCTGGTTTATTGTGTTGATGTGGTTTGATTCATTGACAATATGTCTTCAATTGTGCAGAAGCAATCTGATCTTTTGCTAAATGCTGATGATCTCGATGCTATGTGGGTTTGCTTAAGAGAAAATTGTGTGATTGACGATGCAACTGGTGCTGAAAAGGTTAGTACACTACTATACTCTGTCAAGAAATCTAAAAGGAACCCATATTTTCTTCAAATGTATGACATTGGCAGTTAATAAGTTGATTTCTTTTCTCTTTTTTTCCCTAGATGATACTCACTGCCAAACCCAAATCCTCCCCGGCCCCCCCCCCCCCCCCCCCTCCCCCCCCTCTTCCTCTCCTTCTCAAGGAATTGTTTGCACCCAAGAGGATTCGAACCTTAGACCTGATGCTTCCTGAGGCACCAGGTTCTTACCCACTTGAGCCAACCCCTTGGGGTTAAAGTTGATCTCTTTTCTTTTGAGATTCTTCCAGATTTCTGATTAGTTCTGGTAATTACAGCTCATTACTTGGATTATTCTATATGTTGTTGAAGGTCACGATTTTTTTTAATGGTTCTTTTTATATATTGTTGTTATTTATTTAATATGTAATATCAATTCAGAGACTACTCTTTCTATGGCTTTAATAATTATCTAACCTACTTTTATCTACATATTGAAGTTGTAGTTGCACTTTACTCCTTGGTGTCTCATACCGTTTCATCTCACCTTCCATAATGACCATGGTTGCAAGGAATATTAGAATTTTCTTTTCCATTAGGTAGAGAAAATACCGCGTACATTTTTTTCAGTGTTATTTATATGTCAATATTGGCAATTTTATATATTTGTTACATTTTTTCTTTTTTCCTTACAAGACTTAATAAGTAAAAAGACAAAATTACCTTTTAAACTTTGTGGAAGTTTATTGATGCACGGCAGAAGTGTGAATTAGACTACTATTACCTCAACTGATGATAATAGATTAGCTAGTCAGTAATATTGGATTTCTTGCCAATTGCTTGTTTCAGATTTATTGTTAAAGTTAATAAATTGGCACTTCTGATCTGATTCCTAAAGAAAATTAGCCTATGGTATATTTTTCTTCTTTTGTTCTTAATTTCTCTGATTTTATCGGTTCCATGTTTACAGTTTTATAACTTCTCTTGGGTTTGGTGCAGTTTTATTTATGGCGATGCTAAAACATGTTTTTTATGTCCTCTTTCTAGATGAATTATGAAGACTTTTGCCACATTGCCTCCGTTTGCACAGAGCAAATAGGCCCTAAATGTCGACGGTTTTTCAGTCCTTCAAATTTTATGAAGTTCGAAAAAGATGAATCAGGAAGAATTGCCATACTGCCGTTTTACCTTTATGTGATGCGTACGGTAGGTCTTGCTCTTCGATCCTTAACAGAGCTTTTTTTCTTTTAAAAGGTTTTTTTTTATTTATATTTTCTAATAGTTAAAAGTTTGTATATTACTTTGTGCTTTGTCTTTTTGTTTGCATTTGCATCTGTGCTGTTTGCTTAGTCCCACTGTAGACAATCCTTAATTCTTTTGGCGGAACTAATTTTGTTGCTTGTTGTGGACGTTGAAGTCTCTATATCAAGTTACCTTTTGACTTGGTGTTATTGTTTCTCTATTTGGTTAGAGCAATGTAATAAAGGCACATAAAATCAAGTTGCTTGTTTTTACCAAACATCAAATAGTAGTAGTAGTAGTAGTAGTTGCAGTTTACTGTATGGTTGTCACAAGTATTCCTCTATATGGTTTTGAGCTATGTTAAGAAGGCATATACTAGAAGTGCAAGTTTAGATGGGATTGATGCAAGTCTTCATGGTCAAGTTGATTATCACGAGGATTCCGGGCTATGAAAAATATACAAATATGTTAAAAGCAATGAAATCTGAGATAATGTAGATGAAATAGTTGTGTCGCTTGCAATTATAGTAAATGTAAGAGAAACAATAGATGAAGATTCTTAGCAACCTTGACAGAGTTTCCATAAGAACACAAACAGAAGAGATCTCATGAATGACCTGTAGTTGCAAGCAACTGCTACTGTCTCCAATTTAAAGGGTAGCCATGGGACTACAAGATAGTGGTATTATAATCTGCTAATTTTTGCTGTTGAATTAGTGTATATAACACAGCGACATTAACAGCTGTCAATGAATTCCTTCTGTTTGATTGATTCCTAAGGGTGTATTTTGGCTCTGATGCCAAGTTTGTTATATAAATTGATCGAGTTTATTGAAAGGGAAGCTCAACTGAAAAACATTGGATTTCTTTGACAAAGTATAATGGATAAAACTACCAAAAATACATACCATAGCAGTAAGTAAAGTAGCGCTACGCATCGATGATTTGGTCAGTGCAGTTGGACCACCCTGATTGGGCTATCACGGTCCTGAGAATTAATGCATCATACCAAGTTCTGGGCTTGGATATTTAAATGGAAACTCAGACTTGTATTGGTTTTTTCTTGTCTATCTCTCTCTCTTTCTGCTTAGTGTCACATAATATTTATTTTGTTGTTGTCCAGGTTTCACTTACTCAGGCCAGAATTGATATGAGTGAGCTTGATGAGGATTCTGATGGTTTCCTTCAACCTCATGTATGGTTCTTTGCCCTAACCAAACTAGATCATACAATACCATACAGTAGTTATTCTTTCCTCAATATAACCACAATGTAGAATATCTACTTGTTGCATGGCAACCTATCTTGTGCAGTTTTGTATGTAAAAGATTTGATTGTATTCTTTTTTTTTTTGCAGGAAATGGAGGCCTATATACGAGGTCTTATTCCTAATTTGGCACAACTCCGTGACATGCCTGCGGCTTTTGTTCAAATGTACTGCCGCATTGCTGCACACAAATTTTTCTTCTTTTGCGACCCTCATAGACGAGGTTTGCCATGGCCCAAGTTTCATTTGTACCTGAGTTGATTTCCATTAGTCATTTTTTAATTAGTTGTATACTCAAATGTTGGTTTTTTCATGTAATACTAGCATTATGTTGTTTTCCACGTTTACAATATGTTTCTCTGTTGTGTTCCACTGCACATCTGACACAGACTATGAGCTCCAATTGCTTAAGATAAATACACCTCTAAATCCCTTTCTTAGTTGCAAAAGTGGAACCTAAGGGCTTAACGGATGAGCTTCTGCAGATGTTGGTAGTGGTAAAAAATATCTGTGTACGAAACGTGAAGTTTCTGAACTTCTATATGATTTTCATAGATTTTGGATGCTTCAGAAGTGATGTGTTATCGCAAGACACCTTGAGATGTTATCATCTCAGGTGAAGCTATGAGGCTTCCTGTGATCAGGTTGAGATGACGTCATCCTGCTAATTTTTTTCTATCTCATAAAAAAAGCCTTGCAGCCCAGTGAAACTGAAACAACTCAGTCTAGTTCTCATAGCATCACAAGACTTCAAACCATGGCCCTCGTAGGGATTTTCAGTTTTTATAAATGTTCTTTGCCTATATGACCTTTGGATGTTCGGTATATGAAAGTACAATTTTCATTTTCTTTCAGGAAAGGCATGCATAAAGAAGGTGCTGCTCAGTAATTGTCTCCAGGAGCTAATGGAACTGCACCAGGTAATATGTAGATGAGAATTTTCTCAACTGTCAAAATATCCTCAACAAGAAGAAGATATCGCATATGTTTTTTTGGCTTTTGCAGTCTGTCTTCCTCAGAAAGTATATTTCTGTAACGCTTTTAAGTGTTCTCCCTGGTTTTATGGGATTATGTTAACTGAATGGCAATGGTCTTTTCATGGTTGATGTTTTCATAAATGATTTCCCACCTTGAAATCATTCTGTTACTGATACTAGTTTCAAAAATGTATTTCGTGTTGCCAATTGTAAGTAAAGAAAAGCTTGTTCTAAAGTACGGTACAAAATTTTGCAAGGGAAATCCAATTAGGAAAAGGTCATGGATTTAATGTGCAGTCTGTTGGTTGCTGAGTTGGCCTTGCCATTTGGTTTCTTTTGTGAAATTAGTTTTATTAATGAAAAAGAGGAGAATCCTTGTTAAGATTAGTTTTATTAGTAATAGTGTAAAATCCTTGTTAAAAATAGTGTGTTATTTTACTGCTGATTTACTTTTGTTTTTTTTGGCAACCATAAGGAGCATAGGGCTCTGTTGGTTGAAGTTGTTACCTTGCTGCAAGGTCGGGCTTCATTGTTTTGCAATTAATACCTAAAAAGGCTGTTTGAGTCCATCTTGTCTACTTAAAACTTTATTCAGTAAGATCCTGTGTTGTATGCTTCCTTCATGATGATGGTTTTATATTTTTATTTTTTAAATTTTACAGTTAATTTTTTCTTAAAAGATTTGACAGATAAAGTTTCCACCGTCTTCTCCATCATGAGAACAAGCACATGCATCTCACAATATGTATATTTTTTTCGGAATTAATATTTGTAGAGAATCTAGAGATTATGGAGTTAGATTTGCTTATGGACGTGGCAATATACCAGCAAGACTGTTGACTATGAAAGATAGTAGCGCTATTGTGGGTTTGCTTCTTTCACACTGTACAAAAACGGGAGACTAACTTTTTTGTATTTTGAATGAATTTCAGTAAATGAATGAAAACCTTATACTGTTATAAATGAACACAACATTTTGGCCTCGAAATGGGATTGATAGAACAGGAGCTCAATATGTATGAGTTTGTTTATACTCAACTTTTTGTAATAAATGTGAATAATTGAAATGAATTTTCCTACATACAATTCAGTTAGGAGCTAACTTTTGCTTCTTACCTTTTTTATTTAAATTAGGAAAGTGAGGAAGAAGTCACTGATACAGAACAAGCGGAAAACTGGTTTTCGTTGACATCTGCACAACGCATATGTGGTGGGTAGTTTGAACTTCTTCAGTTTTGATACATGTTGAGCTATTGTTATTTTTTTTTTCTTGTTTTCCTGCTATTCTTGGAATTGGTATTAATCTGTCTGTTATGAGTATGTGCTACATAATTGGCTAGTGGAACTGAAACTTTCATTAAACCCCAAAATAAAGAATTTTATTGTCAGCAGTTTGCATCATATGAAGTTGCTCGTGCATTTGAGGTAAGTTGAATGGCAAGGCAAAAATAGATTTGAAAATGAAACTGATTCCATTTCATGTTAAAAATGGCCCCTAAAGAAAGGCTATTAAAATACATGAATTAGAATGACTGGTTATTTCATATTTGCCATTCATTTTAGGATTCTGCAGATGAAGCTATTTGAACTATAAGGTTCTCCATTTCTGAAATTCATTTGGAGTTAACGTCTGAGCGATTACCAATTTATTGTACATTTAAAATTTTGTCATTCTTAAATAGTCTAATCTTTATTAGGATCCTTACATAAAAATAATTGGACCTTAATATCAGAATATTTTGCACCCCAAGCTAGGATATCAAGGTCTTTAACGGAGGACGACTTCTTGAAAGATTAGGCACAGCATGCTCTCAATTATTGTATTGCTTAAGCATGTGTTATTTTATGCATGCCATACTAAAGAGTCTGCTTTCTAAAGACTCAGAGAGGGACACAGCACCCCCTCTTTTCATGTACCCCAACCCCATAGGTTGTGAAACTGGTTAATGATTCTGTTTCACGGCAGTTTTGCCAATTTGCTTCTTATGTAGATCATATCAGCTGTTCTTATTTAAGCCAATTCTTGCTATGTACATAAAGCTTTATTATTTGTAATGGATTTAACTTACTCTGTAAGCTCAGAGTAGAAGTTCTAATTGTTTGGAAAATTTTCTAGCTGCTATTAGCATGACTTTTGTAACTTATGGTGCTCATATTCATTCTGCAGATATGTTTCTTGCCCTTGATAAAGATATGAATGGGACGTTGAGTAAGCAGGAACTACGAGAATATGCAGATGGGACTCTGACAGATATTTTCATTGAGAGGGGTAGAAACTGACAGTACTTTTCTATGAAATTTCTTGAAAATCATTAGAATCTGTCTCGTGTGTTTATTTAGTCGCTTGAGAATAGTCTTTGACCCCTTACTTATTTTTGTTTACTGTTGGCAATCCATCTCTCTCTCTCTCTCTTTGTGGCTTCTCCTAAGAAATGTTTTGCTTGCTAAAATCCTCTTTTCTTTCACTACTAAGGGAGGTCGTCAAAACTTAGCTTCTGTACTTCATCTTTTTTTGGTAGAAATAGATTATCTGGTAGAAGAATAACTTCTGTTTAGGACAAAGCACAGGTGTTTTTCTTTGCATTCTTTAATCAAAAGAAAATTTGTTCTTAAATTTTTTTGTAGGCCTCTTGCACAAATTTTGAATTGAAAAGGATTGTTATCATATCAGATCACTCTTAGTCATTATTTTGTCCATTAGCAGGATTTAGATTGCAATCCAATATCATATTAAAGTCTTGTTCCAAACCTTGGCTATTTAGATTTGGATTGTCCATTAGCAGGTCCAAGTGATGTTCCTGGTAATTCGTACTGCTGGGTGATATTGACTCTCTTAACGGTGGTTGCCCTGAGTCTCAAATGTGCACATTTGTCAGTCCAAGGTTTTATTATTCCATAAAACAGTATTTCTACATGTTAAAAGATTTGTGAGAAATAGATTACTCTTGCAAAGCATATTTATGTTGTAAATAGTATAAATTGTTGAAGTAGCCAAATGAATTTTGTTTGATGCCCTCGAATTATTCATTTTGCTCCGTAAGTAATATTCCTCTGGTTGGTGTATCTATGTGTTCTTCTTTCCAATTTATAGATAGATCTGTACTACATTTTCTGATTAATTCCTGGTCATGTTGGGTTTCAATTGTTAGCCATGTTTATACATTTTTTCTTTTGGTTAGGTAAATACTCACATTCACACCCACTGGGGCTCAAATCTCTCACCTCCCCCTTGAGGGTGGAGAGGCTATACCAACTGTGCTAATGGCCGATCAGTATTTTCTTTCAAGTTTATTTAAATATTTTGCAATATTCATAGTCTTAAGGCTGGAATTACCCAATCTGATCACTTAATATATATATATTTATATATATCCCTTCTCATCGTTACAAACCAAACAGAATTTTATTTCTGTCCCATCTCTGGTGCCTCATGAAGCATCAGGTCTTAGTATCGATTCACAATTCCTTGGAGAGGGGGGTAGGAAAAAAGAAATTCTCACCAGCTATGCTTTTTAAATTTTTTTCAATATTTATATATTGATGTTCCCAATATCCTTATATATCTGTATTACGTTTTCTGATTAATGTCTGGTCATTTTTGGGTTTCAATATTTTGCCATGTTTCTACATAGAAAGATATTATACACTTGTTATGAATCTTATCATCTTCTTCCTCCTTTGTTTATTTATTTTTTCTCTCTTTTTCTTTTCTTTTTTGCAATGTTCAGTCTTAAGGCTAGACCAAACAGAATTTTATTTCTGTTGTATGTCAGAAACTCTAAAAGTCCTCTCAGTAATTCTCACCAGCTATGCTTTAACTTGGAAACTTCATTACCTGTTGTATTTTTTCTAGATTATCTTTTGTTGCTCTCACTCCTAGCTCTATTTTTGGCTATGAATAGCTTTTGATGAGCATGTCCGCCGTGGCAAAAGTGGAGGAGGTAATGCTAGAGAGATGGATTTTGAAAGTTTTCTTGACTTTGTTCTGGCCTTAGAAAACAAAGACACTCCAGAGGGGTTAACATATTTGTTTCGGTGTCTCGATCTTCATGGAAGGGGATACCTCACAACAGCTGATATTCACACTCTTTTCAGGTGAGCAGTCTGTGTTTAGCATTCAACTTAAATTTTCCGTTATAACTTCTTTTTTCCTATTACCAAACATTCTACATGCTTCTTTGTCTGGTTGCAAGACAAGTTTTAGAATTTTGGAATTCTCTTTTCCCATCTTTTAAGCAACCAAGCGGAGGAAAAAAATAATATGGAAGAAAAGAAGGGTAGCATCCGAAAGCTGAGATGTTAACTGATACAATCTTCCTACATAAAAACTCTGTAATTTCCTGCTTGTGGTTCTAGAGCATGTTCTGCGAGTCTCAAATTACAAGATACATGAACCCAACTACTGAGTTTGGGTTTAGGAACCTTGTTGAAAACTTCTACACTAATTGAAAAGTTTTAGAAATCAATCTCTCTACCATTTCTCATCAGTTTTCACCTTAACAAATATTTCTCATATGAAATTTTCTTCCCCGTGGATATAAAACAGAGATGTACACCAGAAGTGGATAGAGGGAGGGAATTATGAACTATGTATTGAGGATGTAAGGGATGAAATTTGGGATATGGTGAAGCCAGCTGACCCTCTAAGGATCACACTGGCTGATCTGCTATCTTGCAAACAGGGTGGGACCGTTGCGAGCATGCTTATGGATGTGCGTGGTTTCTGGGCCCATGACAATAGAGAAAATCTTCTCCAAGAAGAGGAAGAGCCAGAAGAAGAATGAAAGATGTGCATGCATGCATGGAGTAGATATATAGGAACTGTATCTGTACTACTAACACAAAAACTGGAGTTCGAAACTTGTATCTGTACTGTACTACTAACTTGTATTTTTATTGAAAGGGAGCACACTTCGATGGTGTATTTTTATTGTGTGTTATTTTTACGTGTAAAAGAATGATATTGATAGCCTTGCTGGAAGATTGTTAATGTAATTCTGTTGTACTTCAATATAGAATTTCGTTCCAATTCCCTAAACAGCTGCTGTGAGATTTCTTCGTGTCCATGTTAATGGACCTGTACAGAGTGGTTTTAGATGTTACCACCACAAGCTAATAGTTTTGAGTGACACATCCTGTCGTACTACACCACAAACCATGAGGATTGCACCTCATGGTACCACTGAAATTCTTTTCATCCTCATCTCTAAATGCAGAACTCTTTTAGTACTTCACCTTATTGTCATGGACGCGCCAAAAGTCCTGTTAGTACTTCATTTTATTGTCATGGACGCATACATGTGCTACGTGAAACACCTCAATTTATTCTTTTTGAGTGTCAAACCAACCCATTGTTTGGCTGTGTTGCATCAAGCAAAGCTTGGAAGTGAACTCAAACCTTTTCCATTTGTTTGATAGAAGAGATCCCATTTTCATATGCTCATTTCAACATCTCTCAAACAATTATTTTGCCCATAGATGGAGTGTTTTCTTTGGACTGTTTGGAACATAAAATAGTTAAAAAGTATTTTTTATACAGCAATTCCACAACCACCACATCTGTGAATATCCCATAAATTGTTTAACAGACTAATAAAGTAAGTTCAAGCAGATCATGGTAGAAAAATAAGTGATTGAGAATAAAGTTTAAAATACATTCATGGTAGGCATATAGCAATAATACAATATATCAACATCATTCACCCATGTCCCAAAAACCTAATACATAGCAAGAATCCCATTTGCCCAAACACCAATCATTCAACCATTCCGGTCCTCCAATGCTACAAACATCTCCCCATTTGCACAATTTTTAAACAAAAGTCTCAAATTTGAAAAGCCAACTCCCTTATTCACAACCTGAAATGGAAACAGTTTATGAAGCATAAGATGCAGTAAAAAAAACAATCAATCCAAAAAATATATATATAACAAAGCATATTGACCCAGACATAACCAACAGTTGATTAACGACTTTTACATACCCATCTCCTCAAATCATCACAAAATTGCTAACAAGAACAAAATTAGCATACTGAGCACCTTTTAATGAATATATTACCAAATTATTTTGGCACTCGAGTATTGTTTTATTTATTAGTTTGATAAACGAGATCAATTTATTCATATGGAAGGGAAAAAAAAAAAAAAAAACCCAACCGATTAAAGTGAGATTATGTGCATTTTAAAAAACCATTACCTTCAAGTGTGTTAGAATATTTCTCTTATTATTTGAAGCCCAATTTTCTATTTTTTCTATGCTTTTCAAAGCACTACAAAAATGGGTTGCCAAGATTCTGCTTCACAATACTTGCAAACAACCATTTTCCTTTCCTAAAAGAGTTTCTACTATCATGGATCAAATCAATGGGACTAGTTGCTCCTTTGGTTTCAATAATATGCTTTCTCCAAAAAGTATACAATTTATATATCAACAAAATTGAATACAATAATCTGCTTTCTCCAAAAAGTATACAATTTATATATCAACAAAATTGAATACAATCTCATCATGTCAGATGTTTCTCAGCCAAGGTCATACACATGCGAATGGAGATCAAGGACTCCCTCATTTACAGTTTAATCAAAACACACAAATGGGATTTCATCATCACTCAAATTCATCAGGTCCATCCAAGATAAATCTTTATAGTTGTCAGATTTTTCTTCTTCATCACAAGTGGATTTCAGCTCCTGCAGTACTTCTCCCATGTCTGATTTTTCTTGCATATCTTGAAAGGACATATATGAAAAATGCTCCCCTTGCTCTACATGATCACATACAGATTTCAGGTCCATCCAAGATAAATATTCTTCAGTCTTCGCATCTGAAGTTCCCAATTCCATGTCCAATTTTTCTTGTTCTTCACAAGTGGATTTCAGGTCTTGTAGAACTTCACCCATGTCTGATTTTTCTTGCAGCTCTTGGTAGGACATATCTGAAAAATGCTCTTCATAATCATCAAAGGATATCAGGTCCAACCAAGATAAATACTCTGCAGTCTTCGCATCTGAAGTTCCCAATTCCATGTCAAATTTTCCTTCTTCACTAGTGGAATATTTCAGCTCTTGTAGTACATCTCCCATGTCTGATTTTTCTTGCAGCTCTTGGTGGGACATATTTTCAAAATGGTCCTCCTGCTCTGAAATTTCCAATTCCATATCCGATTTCCCTTCTACACAAGTAATGGTGGAATTTTTCGGAACATCTTGAGTGCCTTCATTCTTATGTTTTCCTTCTTCCTTGCTTTTCTTGCTATTATCCCTTATTCGGCAAAGGACCCATTTTTGGAACTGCATCACACCCAAACAGAACAATTATCAAATATGTATACAAGTAAATTTCAAAGGGTGAGATGATTACAGTAACAATAAATTAAATAGAATAATAAGCAAGCATGCACTAAGCAAAAGAAGAACTGATACAACTAAAACACGCCATTCATCAATACCATGCATACATGGCAAACACAGATTTATAACTTATGGCTTATATATATACGCAAAGACTCAATTTTTTATAGCTTGACATTTTACTATACAATGCTCACATGAATTAATTGAAAACATCTTTCATTTTAGGGAAAAAAAAATCAGTCATTAACAATTGCATATAGAATTTACATATACATACATCAGGTTGGTTTACTTATTTTCATGTCGATCTGTCTTAATTTGTGAAGCTCATCAGCAAGGATAAATTAAAAAAAAAAAATAAAAAATCACAAACTTAGTAGTGAAAATTAGGAAGAATAAGCCTGAGAATTTCCGTGGCTGATCTCTCCAGAGCACATCATAAAGTAACAAGGGACTATTGACTACACCAAGGGACAATTGACTACACCAAGAGTACTGTGCAACTAGCTAGCTAGCTATTTTCATGTCTAGCTTAAATTTTCCAATTGCAATATCATGATGTAATTATTGAAAACATCCATTGTTAACTGATATTAACTATAACCTCAGCAAGGAATACATGCTCGAAAATTAATTGATTGAGAGTTTATACATAGAGTAAGTACCGTTTCTCTTGAAAGACAATATTCATGCATAATCCAATCAGTTTTGGTGCATTCCTTCCGATTCTTGTTCTTGTTCTTGTACTTATAAAATGTCAAGGTTTTGATGTAGCCAATGACATTCAGATGTTGGGTCTTTCGAATGCATTTGTCACCAGTGCTGGCCTTCCAATATCCTCCAACATCAAACTTCCCTTTAACACCTCTTTCCGGCCTCTTCCCTCCGTCAGTAGCTGCACATTTCTTCTGTCGATTCACAAAGTAATACCTATCACGCTGATGCTCATGCTCTTCATTATCCATATTGCCCATGGACCCATGAATATCATCTGCTAGACAATAATTATAGACATATATACATATAAGAGATTATTTAATCAATAATTGAATTTAAAGAAATATATATAGATCATGATATAATTAATTACGTACATGAAAGAAACCATGGTTCACATGCGTAGATGTCCATATCAATGACTGCATTGGATGGCAGTTCTTGTTCACCATTAAGCTTCCTCTTCAAGTAGCCAGAAATGAGTTCTTCATCTGTTGGTTCAAACCTATATCCAACTGCTAGTACTTGAGTGTTTCCAAAGTAACCACAAGTACTAAGGCATTGTTCTGTTTGATTGAAGCGATTAATACTCATGGGATCAGTAATTTGCAGCTGCAAATTCTCAGTGCCTTCAGATAATTTATTGTTTATTCTTTTGCTCCCATCCCGGATTCTACACAAAACCCATTCTTGGAACTGCACTCACACCGAAACAGAACAACTAATGAATATATAAATCACAATAAGTAAACTTCAATTAATATGATAAAGAGAAAATAAAAAAGTAATTCTCACTGAATTAAAAATTTCATTGTTGTATATTAATACTAATATTTTGTGTAATCTTTAATTTTCCATTCCCAATTATAGTAAGAAAGCTAAAGGTAGCATAGCTCAAAGTTTGCAAACCAAAAGAGGAGGGTGGGCTGGGCATATATACCTAATGTGGAGCTTAATTATCAACAAAGCCTTAATGCTTAAGCATCTCTGGAATGGAATATCACAATCAAAAACCAAAGTGGCTCATGGGTATTCAGGAAAAAAAAAAAAAGTGGCTCATGGGTTCAATGGATTCTTGACCATCAAATAAAAAACAAGTGCTTTTGGGAACTCAACATTCCTCAGAGGTGCTCATTCACCTGGAGGAAGCTATTGCAGCTCAGACCATTCTTCAAACACCTGGTGGGTGCAAAGATTGATGATGGAAAGCCACATGTTTTTCTGGCACCACAATTGGCTCTCTGTGGAGCCACTATATATATATATATATGTAGCAGATTCAACAGAGAGGAAATAAAAAATTCAGAAATTACCAGCAATTCAAATCTCCCTCTCCAAAACCACCAAATTCGCCAGAAGGGAGATGATAAGCATTTTCTTAACCGGATTTGAATTAACTGATGATGGTCAATGGGCTTTCGGGCTAGAGGATGTTATTGGTGTCCTAGGTCAATTTGGGCTAGGTTGGTTTTCATCATTCATATGTTGGGCCATGGTTGTAATGTCCCTATGTTAGGCTCATTTGTTTTTTGGCCCTATAGTTGGCCCACTGGCTCTTCTTCACTAATGTGGTGTGTAGTTTGGACTTTGTACAGTCATTAATCAATAAATTGATTGAATTTCCGAGGAAAAAAAAAACTCCTCTTCATGCAGCACAAGCTAGCATACAGTAACTAAATTTCAAGTCAAGCTTTACACTATTATTCATGAACACGCATATATATAATTTTACCTTATTCTCTTTGAGCTTATATTCGTGCATAATCCAGTTTGTTTTGATGGTTCCTTCCTTTCTTTCATTTCTATTCTTGAAACTATAATATGCTAACGACGTCACGAAACCAATAACATTGCCGAGCTTGTCTTGAATAGATTTATTGTTGCTCGCCCTCCACCATCCTGCACCGATGTGTCCTTCAACTGTCCGTTTTGGAGTTACACCATTTCCTGTTGTAGATTTTTTCTTTCTTTCTACGAAGTAATATTTATCACCCTTATTCATATCATGATCTGTTACACAAAACATATGCATAATATAATTAGAATATATACATTAAGAAAATTAAACCACAAGAATTAATCCAGCGAAAGTTAATACATAAAGGGGTCATTGCTTACATCTATGTAAAAGAAAATATAAAAAATATGTGCACAAGTGTGGTATTGTAATTTGGTGCCCAGGGTGCTATTAAACGTACAATATAAAAAATTAATTAATTAAATAACTATATTTGTTAAAAGAAAGAGAGAATATGATATACGTACATAAAAGCAACCAGGGTTCGTGCTGGTAGACATTCATGTCAATGACGGCATTGGATGGTAGTTCTTCTCCCTTAACCTTCTTCTTCAAATAATCAAGGATGAGTTCTTGGTCTGTTGGTCTAAACTTATACCCCTCTGCCAACCTCATATTGCCTGAACAACAAATCAAGAAATTAAAACAATGATCGGTATACTGTATACACATATAAATTGAATTCTATATATATAAATATAGAATATTTAATTATCTTTTTTTTTTTTTTTTTTTTTTTTAAGAAGATTAAGCAATTTATTAATGAGGAAACTGTACAGTGACAGGCTAAGTAGCCGAAAACAGGGGACAATATAAAATTGGCCCAATCCAGCACAGCTGAATGTTACAACATGGGAAATACGGCCCATCACTCAAGCCCTATTCCAATGGAGACAATTAGGTCAATTCCGGTGGGAACACGTCTCTGATAAAGGGCGAACCAGCTACTGAGTGTGTGTGTATATATATATATATATATATATATATATATATGAGTTTATATATTTACATACCATCGACACACGAAGAATCGAATTTCATGTTAGGGCTAAGAACATTCAACAGCGGCACGTTAGTCTCAGAATTGGAATGATTAAATTTTTCTTGATGATACTTATGTGTTGATGCAAACGACGATGCAAACAGATTGTCCATCGTCATCTTCTCCATACAGAATTCGTATGTAAGTGTTCTCTCTCTCTCTACCCGATATCTGCTACTCTCTCTCTCTAACCGATATATGCTACTCTCTCTCTCTAACCGATATCTGCTACTCTCTCTCTCTCTCTCTCTACCCGATCTGATCAAATATTTTCTTTCAACGTGAAGTCCAAGCTAATGATACATATATATATACACACACACACACACACTAAGTGTGAGTGTGTGGCGGTGGTCAGCTAATCACAAACTTGACGGTTTGTTAATTTGGGCAACCTTCGATTGGTTTATCAGCTTTAGAAGTAAAAAGTAGAAACAAATGTGAGTTTTAGTTCCACATATGAAACAATGAGGGGCTAATTTAATTAGAGTACTAATAAAAATTTGGTTGCCTCAAACCCTAATTAGACTAGATTAATTATATTCTTAATACTATATAAATAAATATTATCAGAACAATTAAACTGATAAACAAACTATACTTTATGAAAACAAATGAGATTTGGGAGAAACACACACACACACTCATATTTAAGTTTGTAACTTTGGCAGATTAGAAGTAAAACTCGAGACCAGTCCAATATATGAAATGCTCAATTTTAACTTATTTATAACTAGACCTTCAATCCTAATTAGTCATTATGAGCCTAATTGATCCTTTATTTTTAAACTCAGTGTTTAAAATTCAGGCTAAAATTTTGAAGTGGAAAGGTCAAGTTAATTCGGATTGTCCATATGACCATTGGAAATTTAAGATAATCTTAATTTAATTTTAGATTAAATTACTCCAAAACATAAAAAGTTATTACAATTTTTTTAAAAATAAAAAATTAATTTAAAAAAAATTAATTATTCAAAGTGTCAACCTACAATAAATTAAGATTTAAACAAAATATTAACCCTATGTGAATTTATATTTTTTACAATTTTAGAATTCTAAAGTTTAAGCAATTTTTATGAAAATTTGAAGAATTGACTTTTTTCAAAATTTTTAAAGAAAACATAGACCAAAAATATGTGAATATTTAAGGCCAGAAAACAAAATTTTGAAACACCCGAATCAAAGTTAAATTTTTATACGTTATCATAAGTTGAAATGTTAAGTGATAAACGTACACATATCCTCTTTTGTTAGATTTGTGGTGGTTCAAACACGACTTAAACAAATATTAAGAATGATTTAAATATTACTGAAGTGACACACTATCAGCCTATGATTTAGAACATATTTTTAAATTATGATGGACTTAGGCAGAATCAACTTAGAGGATCCACTACCTAACTTGCAGTGAGTATCCTACAGGAACTTGAAAGTATTTTTGGTGCATTCTTGTGGTCTGGGCCAGTTCTTAAAAAGACAGGTGCTAAGGTAGCATGGGATAAATGTTGTGTTCCAAATAAAGCAGGGGGCCTTGGTCTACCTAACTTGCATCTATGGAATGAAAGTGCAGTTATGAAGCATTTTTGGAATATTCTTAGCTCAAAAAACATGCTTTGGGTTAAATGGATACATACCTATCTACTCAAGGGCAGAAGTATTTGGGAGGTTAAAGTGCCTGGGCAGTGTTCCTAGACTTGGAGAAGATTGCTTGGTCTTAGAGACTCAATCAAACCACTTGTCAAGATAGAAATTGGTGATGGCACTTCATCCAATTTCTGGTTTGACACTTGGTGCCATCTTGGTCCATTGCATCAGCATTTGTCTCCTCAACAAATTGCTACAACTGGATTTGATTGTAGGACTAAAGTAAGCACATTCATCCTTAATAACACATGTACCTTTCCAGATGCCATCTTGAACTTATTGCCTCTGCTTCTACCAGTATCCTCACTTCCAAAACCCAACCCTGCCTGTAGTGACAAGTTTATCTGGATCCCATCTAAATCCACCCAATTCTCCATAGCAAAAACAATGAAGCACTTTAATCAGCAATATCCAACCCTACCATGGACTCATCTGGTCTGGTTCAAGCCTTCCATCCCCAAGCACTCGTTTACACTGTGGGTTGCAACTCAACATAAGCTTCCAACTCTAAACAGAAGATGTACAGCGCATATAAACTCTTCAATGTGTATTCTGTGCAATAGTGAACCCGAGTCTCATGACCACCTGTTCTTTGATTGTTCATTTGTTAAACCCTTGTGGCACTTTCTACAAGCACGTTGTCGGTTTTACATTCAACCATCATCTTGGACACAGCTCATTGCATGGGCAACATATCACTGGCGAGACAACTCTCAGTTTCATAACATTACTATTTCCAAATTGGGTTTAGCTTCACTGGTATACCATATATGGACTGAAAAGAATAGCTAAATTTTCAAGAAGAAAGCATCTCATGCCAATTCTGTTCTCCATAGCACTCTGGAAACCATTCGATCCAAGCTACTCACTTCCACAATTTTAGATTCGCTCAATGCTAGGAGGGTTGTTGTGGACTGGGAGCTTCCTCAATCAGTGATCCGTCCTCCAAAGAAGCCTCCAGACATTGCATCCTAAGCTAAAATTAGCACTGTTGGGGATTTGCTCCATGAACACCGGTCTGCTGTGTTGATGTTTCATCATACACATTTTGTATTATCTTGAGCCTTCTTGGGCTGTACTGTTTCCTTGGGTTTAGTCCTTCTTGATGTTAGCAATGGGCTAACCTCTTGGGCTGTTATGTACCTTATTTATTTTAATATATTTATCTTGAATTTTCAAAAAAAAAAAAAAAACTTAGAGGATCCAGTTCTAAGAAACTAAGATTTATGAACCAATCTGAGAAACTTGACTGCTAGGATTCATGACTTTGAAGATTTTAAAGTGAGATTATGTGCATTTTTAAAAACCATTACCATGAAGTGTGTTTGAATATTTCTCTTATTATTTGAAGCCCAATTTTCTATTTTTTCTGAAGCTTTTCAAAGCACTACAAAAATGGCCTGCCAAGATTCTGCTTCACAATACTTGCAAACAACCATTTTCCTTTCCTAAAAGAGTTTCTACTATGATGGATCAAATCAATGGGACTAGTTTTTTTTTTTTTGGTTGAATGAGTAAGCTTTTATAAATAAAGAAAAATATTGTACAACAACATCGCAAAGCAACACGAGCTATTACAATATCAAAATCAAAAAGTAAGAAGCCAAAAGCCAACTGCCAAATAATCAAACAAAAATCAACTTGTTAACCTTAGGGACTTGAAGTCGAAGCTAGAAATCAGTAGAGCCACTGACTAGTTGCTCCTTTGGTTTCAATAATCTGCTTTCTCCAAAAAGTATACAATTTATGTATAAAGAAAGTTGAATACAATAATCTGCTTTCTCCAAAAAGTATGTAATTTACATATCAAGAAAATTGAATACAATCTCATCATGTCAGATGTTTCTCGGCCAAGGTCATACACAAGCGAATGGAGATCATCAAGGACTCCCTCATTTACAGTTTAATC